AAGTAATTCTGTAAACTTTGTTATCGCAGTGCATTTCATCAGTAATGAATGTAGCAAAGAGAATGTAGCTGATCAGACAGAAAAATAGGGGTATATTATATACATATGCCACATTTAGACTGGATGTAGCTTACTTATTTTGGTTTTCTTTGATGAAACCAGAAAAATTGCTTTTATTTTCATGCTGGAATGTGAAAATCAGAATTAGATTTTTATAGCATTCATTTGGCGTACCTATTAAGCATATTTTTAAATAATTATTATTGGAACATGTATACTGCATAAATATAAAAAGAAAGAAGAGGCTTGGTGAGCTTGGTGAAGCTCTCATGCTCAAAACGGAAGACGTGAAATGGTCTTTCAAAAAGGTAAATCCTCACAAAGCTCCGGGACCAGATGGCATCCCAGGCTGGGTCCTCAGAGCGTCAGCCGACCGGCTGGCAGGGGTGTTCACCAGCTTCCTTAACCTCTCCCTGAGGCAGTCGGTGGTCCCTACTTCCTTCAAGACATCCACTATCATTCCTATCCCGAAGAAACCAGTGGTCTCCTGTATGAATGACTACCACCCTGTTGCACTGACATCAACCATCATGAAGTGCCTTGAGTGGCTGGTCAAAGGTCACATCTGCTCCTCCCTCCCTGACACGCTGGACCCTCTTCAGTTTGCCTATCGAGCAAATAGAGCCACAGAGGATGCCATCGCTTTGACAATGTACACCGCCCTCACTCACCTGGAAAAGGGGAATATATATGCAAGAATGCTCTTCATCGATTACAGCTCGGCATTCAACACCATCATCCCCTCAAACCTTGCCTTGAAACTCGTCGATCTTGGGCTGGGACCATCCATGTGCAGGTGAATTCTCAACTTCCTCACAAACAGGCCCCAGGTGGTGAGAGTTGGTGAACACACTTCCTCATCACTCATCTTAAACACAGGAACGCCGCAGGGATGTGTGCTTAGCCCCCTCCTGTATTCCCTGTTCACGCACGACTGTGTCGCTAAACACAGGTCCAATAGCATCATCAAGTTTGCGGATGACACAACCATCATAGGCCTCAATATGGACAATGACGAGACGGCCTATAGAGAGGAGGTGATGGCACTGTACAACTGGTGCCTGGATAATAACCTCTTAATGTCAACAAAACAAGAGAAATGATAGTGGACTACCGGAAACGACCAGTCGGGGAACACCAGCCCATCCACATCAACGGTGTCAAGGTCCAAAGGGTCAGCAGCTTCAGATTCCTGGGAGTTAACATCACCGAAGATCTCACCTGGACCCTTCACACAGACACTATAATCAGGAGGAGGCTGAGGAAGTTCGGCGTGAACGCCAACATCACCTCAAATTTCTACGGGAGTGCGATCCAGAGCTTGCCGACTGGGAGTCGCTCTGCCAGCGGCCGGAAATCGCTACCGGGAGTGGTGAAGGCAGCAGAGTGCATCACAGGCATGAGTCTCCCTGCTATTCAGGACATTTATCTCCAGCGGTGCCTCCATAAAGCACACAGCATCATCAAGGACCACGGCCATCCAGCACGACAGCTGTTCTCCTTGTTACTGTCCTGTAGACGATACAGGAGTCTGTCTGCTCTGACTACAAGACTAAAAAATAGTTTTTACCATCAAGCCATTCGACACCTCAACTACAACATTTGAACACACACATCACACTTCACTGGATGCATATAAGAACTGTTCCCATAAAATACAGTCTCAGGTACACCTTGCACTTTGCACTTTATTTTTATTTTTATCTTTATTACTATAAAAAATAAAAGTAAAAAAACTCTTACTATGTGCAATACTGTTACTTGACTGCCACCTTAAATCATCGACAATTGCATTGCTTCCTACTCTTGTCACTTTATTTAATGTGTAAAAACGTCTTACTTCTCTCTAATATTTTGCTGAGAGACTTGCTTATTCTCGTCAATCACATTTCATTGCAATGTTGACCCTGTGCTAACTTGCATATGACAAATAAACTAAACTGAACTGAACTGAACTGGTGAGAAAGGGAGTATTGGTGAGATGTAGGTATAGTTCTGTATAGTCTGTATGAGTGTGTGTGCTTGTGCAGGTTTTGCCGCCTGATGGGAACATATTTAGTCACCTTGTGGAGACTGACACAACTCGACTTTGTGGGGTGTGTGTTGTGTGTGTTACAGTGTGTGCAGAAGAGTTATGACGACCACTGGAAGACAGCCAGGGCACTATTTGCCACTAATTACAGCCAACACAACACACCACTGAGAACTCCGTGAGCTGTGTGTGCTATTTAAAGTGCATTATTTATGACAATTATGAGTTAGTTGTTTAACTTATTATGTTTGTTCAACTTTAAAACTTCCATAAGGTCTTAAAAAGTTATGCAAGATTCATTGTTCATTTTCTAAGCTATTTAAACCCTACAAGAGATTCAGTTTTATTTTTTGTATCCAGGGGCACCATAAAGGGGGGATAGTTAGGATGATTCCAAGGGCCCCTGAGTGACAGGGGCCCTAAAATATTTACAATATAATATGATTGGTCTGGACTAGGGACCCAATATGATATGCTTTCATGGGGCCCAAAATCTCTAACACCAGCCCTGATTGTATCTCATCTCAACATCATGTTGTAATGTGAATTCATATCTTTGAGCACTTCTAAACATGTCAGTTTTATCCATTTCAACTTTTGTGTCACAGTGGATATTGAAAGAAGGGGCCAGTTGTGTTAAATTGCTTTGTATCAGTTTCCATGAATGTCATTTGGGCTTTTTGTTGCACCTAAAATTATCTCAGGTCTTATGAAGTTCACCCGACTTCAGTGGTGTCTTCTGCTTCTCAAACATACCATAATAGGCATTAAAAACTGTAATGAAACTGAAGTCATTTTCTATTTTTTCCTTCATTATACATGTGAGATGCAGAGGAGAAATACAGGAACACGGATTCAACCTTTGGCCTAAGAAGCCTCAAATGAAGCATCTTGTTAATGTCGCTCTACTGAAAGACCAAATCAAACACAAAAGGGACTTTAAGAATGTTGTTTGTCAGTATGTAGTTCTGTTCACACCCTGACATACTTTGTTCGTGTTAGCTTTGACTTGCTTATATCATGTTCTGTAATGTTTACTACGTATGTTTATGTAATATTTTTTTTCTTATGGTTTTCTCCATTCCTCCCGTAGAGGTTTGGTACCTCAATGAATTATTAGTCAACTCTCAACATGGCCAAACTTAAAAACCAGTCTTTAAAACACAATATTTCATTTATCAAAACAAAGTGTCTATAAACATTTAACCGAGTGGAATTATTGTCCTGTATTCAGTTGTTTCTGGGGAAAAAGGCTCCTGAAAGTGTATTGCATTATTATTTTTATGTGAGCAAGGAGATACACATACACAGGTTTAGAATGCAGTATGTTACATTTCCCTTTGGACACTCAGTTGCTGCCAAAAGGGTGTATTTTTCTGTGAGTCATGGGTGCTTCACTGGTAAGTTCTTCTGCTAGAATTGTCCTTATAAATATTAGATTACGTTTTCATCATTTGATTCAGCTATGAGATATTGCACACGGCATAATATTTTCTCAGGAAACTGCTATCAGGGCGCAGTTTTGTGTATGGCCAGAATTACAGCAAAATGTTGGAGCTGTTTAGAGAACGTTAAAATTCCCAATTCGTCAAGCTGTCGCAATAAAACCTTCTTTCCATGTTTTTAGTTATTGTTTATATACAATTTGTTATGGTTACCCATTTATAAATGAAGCTTAAGATACTATTTCTATGAGGCATTCAATTACCATATTTTCTCTGCATGAATGATAATATTAAAACAGGCATCGGAATCATTTTTTGCAAAGCAAAACGGGGAAATGTGGACTATACGAGGGGAAAATACATAGACTTCATTTCTAATGTAATCATAAAATCATACATAAATTTTAATTTGGTCAACCTTGAAGCATGAGATAGAAGTAATGGAAATTCTAAAAATGTGTGGGTTCCAAAAACTGTTCGATGTTGCCAAAGAGTGTAATTTTGTCAGTTCAGCACTTATTATAAGACGGCTCTGACCAGTCAGAGAAGGAAGATGTTTTAGAGCGGCGTGTGACAAAATTTGAGGTAATTAAGCTTTCATAGCATTCCGTATCTCCTGGCTGTGGAGTTAATTGATCAAGCAGCGAGTAAATAAACGATATAAGTTTCATGTCTTAAAGAAGAAAACAGCCTATTAAAAATAGTTTACATGCGGCTTTTTAACAAAATACAAACTGCAGTAAATATCTTATTATAAAGTTCCGTTTGAATGCAATTTGTAACGAGGACTGCAGATATTCTGACGTTTGATACAAGTATTGCAGTCATCTTAATAAAACAAGAATTGTAATTATAGGGTTTCAGAATTTCTGTCGCAAATGGACCTTCACTAGTATGAACGGTCTGTTTCCATATTACATGTTTTGATGGATGTTTGTATTTTGATGGATACAAACCCATTAGAACTTGAACGTTGTTTCATAACTTGTTAAATAGAACCCTGCAATTCTAAGGTCTAGTGGCGTCTAAAGAATACGATTTATGGGTATTATTTTGGCTTTCATCAGGTGAAAAGAGGCCATCACGAAATTACTATAATTTAATCAATTTTAGGATCACTCCATCTTCCAACTGCCATGTACGAATGGCTAGAGATTAAAATCATGTCAGTTAAATATATTTCACAGTTTTAGCTTCAAATTTATCTTATTTTCTGTGATATTGTTCAATTATTATTATTCACAAATTAATGATAATATCAACTGACAAAAACCTAACTATAGCCACAATAACGTAAATCGGAATAATTAACAGTTGGTTGGACGCTAATCACGTTTACTGAAATCAGTGTTTGCAATGTTTTAGCATGTAAAGGAATACAATTTTATTTCGTCACATTTATTATGTGTTATAGCGAGTTTGGATTTAGTTTTGTTTTCTTACATATTTTTCATTGTGCTGTACTATATGTTAAATATTACATATCGTGTTACTGTTTAAGAGTCGTTTCGACAGGTCATTTGGCAGTCAGTACCTCTCCGAATCAGCTTGAAAGGAGTAGGCTACATCCCACACAACAGCCACACTCCACTCATCAGTCGCTGATACTGCCCAGAATGAAAACGGGAGGCAAAGGGAATTGTCCGCATTTTTCCTCTGCCCACCCCTGAGTGTAAGATTTTGTCTAAATAGTCAAGTTTTTCTCCTTTAGGACTGAAGAGCTGCTAATAATTATGAAAAGGAGAATAGGAGAAACAAAGGCTTGGAAGTGTGAACCTATGACCAAATGGAATTCACGTCTAAAACAATGCGTAATGTGAACGAAAATAACGTATCTGGCCAGTCACTTGCGGAGTGCTGGATTTACTTCGAGAGGAGAGAGCGCGCATCAAACTTGCCTTCCTTCTTGATACACGTGATAAATTACATCTCCGGAGCGGATCCCTTGACTTGAATTGTCAGCTTTGCTTTGAGTGTTCAGGCACTCTTTGGATTACGTCGTATAACAAGGTCGATTCGATGAACCGATCGATGTATAAAAATTAATCAAATTGCGCAGCTTTGAAATACACTTGGAACTCGTCTGTATGTAACAAATCTAGTTAATTGTAATACATTGCTTAACTCGTAATCAACGGTAATAAATTTACTATATATCTTTTTTTCGCTGCCGTCCTTTGATACTTAGGCAAGAACAAAATGTTTAGTTTATGTAGGATTCAGAGTACTTCACGGACTCACTGCAGAGCCGCTGTATCTAGAGCAGATGTAGGACTGATACATCTGTCTAGAAAAGGCTCACCTTCCTCGGACAGCTCAAGTGCCTACTTCAGGCTGTGCTTTGCCTTTATTTTACTCCTACTCCTTTTAACTCCAAGAGTGGACTCTTCTTGGTGGTGAGTATTTTATTCACATCCACTTTTGAATAGAACACGTACATTGCATGCAGACCTGTCAAGGCCTATTAATAATCAATTAGCAATGAATATACGGTGTTAACTGCATTACTGAGGCGGAAAATTCGTTTTTTCCCCCCGTTAAACAAAACATGTCTGATTAATGTTATATTTCCGAGTAATTCATTAAATGTATTTCTTTTCCACAATAGACATTAAGATATATTAACGATATCTACGCATATCCTGGATATTTATATCATAATACCAATAAATGACAAAACAATTTAAGAGTAAGTGCAACATATTTACATGTATTTAAAATTAAGCCATAAACATGTAGGCTATTTAGCATGCGGGGAAACATGCGCAAATGGCAAGATGTTGATTTTCATTAATTAGATGTAAGTGGTCTACTATAGCACTTGGGCCTAATTGAGCTACTGTTTTAAAACTATTTAGCTGAAACACTCGATCAGTACAATTGAAATAACTCATAATGAGAGAAGATCGGTGCAGCTCTTGAACTTTAGGACAAAATATTTACAGGAGACCGAAACAAACGTGATATTGATATTGTGGTTAATTATACGAGTGTTCAGGAATCAGTTGCCTTTCGTGCATATTTCTGAAGAAGGAAATGTTTCGGTTCAGTGTAATATTAATAAACAATTTCATATCTTGAAAAACAACAAAAACAACAAATATGCTCAGCGATTCCCATGTTAAAGGGCCATTGAAAAACGAACAAAAAAAAGAAGTAAACGTATTTTAAGAAGCAGCACTGTATTAAAGACAGTGATTCATAATGTGTGTGTTAATGTTGCTCATATGTTGCTTTGGATTATTCTTGGCATTCTAAAGCAAAGCAAGTTATCAAAGACACCTCTTCTCACGCGTTCTGTCCTACACAGTGTATTTTTTTAAACAATGATTTTGTTATAAACATTTATGCAATATTTCTGTTAAAATGGTTGTTTAGTTTGGACATTAATAAGGTATCATAGCTGCTGAAAATGCTACACCTTTGGCATTTAAGTGTGTTGGCTTCAGAATTTTATTACGTATAAATGTCTAAAGAACAATGTGTGCCATACGCACTGTAACAGGCTTTTCATCATAACCATGCACCATTATAGAATATGCAGATTTATGGATGGGGGGTAGATTAACTTTAATAATAAAACTAAAAAATATAACTCATGGTCATGTGTAGATTGTGACATCTCACAGGAAGCAAACTAAATTGGTCAGTATACATGCTGCGTTCATTATTAGATTCTATTATTATAGGTAACTTCCGATGGCGCTTTTTGGTTTTAAATATAATATATTTGATATATTATAATATACTGGTTGACAAAGAGGAGTTTTAACAGTGCCTCAAGACCTGTATAATTTAAAGGTAAACCTGCAGTAAATGTTGTTCCCACCTGTAAATAATAAGTGAATCAACATAAACACTCAAAACAGAAGCTTCTCTTGATGGGAAAGTACCATCAAGCCCTGCACTTCTTTCAGCATTTCCTTTATGGAAAAACAAAGGAAGATCCAATGGATGCTGCTGATTTTACAGTAATTTAATGTATGTTAACTGATAAATGAAGCTAACAGGGGATGTCAGCGCAGTGTGTTTGACATTGTTATGAAATGGTGCTAAATATTATGTAAAACCAGACGGGAAGGGTCCTAGTATCAATCAGACTTGGTAATCTATTACAGACTATTAGCCTTTGCATTGACTAGCCTCAGTGCAAAGGCTAAGACTGTAGAGCAGTGGGGTGGCTAGTGTGCGTGCAGGTTATTGAGATCACCTTTAGGTCAGCTGTTCAAACCCAGGTATGAGGACTCATCAGCCAATCGGTCCTGTAATTAGTAATATAATTAGGGAGTTGCACCGAAAATCCACATACACAGTGGCCCTTTGCAGATACAATTGCCCACCCCAGCTGTAGAGCCATAGATATGCAGAGTTAAGCCATCCAAACCTTGCACAGTTCTCTCTCCCTCAGACCTTGAGTCAGAACCTCTTTCTATATTTGATTTCAGATTGTTCATATTGAAATAGATTTTTATCTGTTTTCATTTCAATTCCTTTTATACCATGTGACCTGTCGCTGAACCGATTTACAACAATCATCACATAGCAACCATCATGTTTTGATAATAACAACTAAGATATAATAATGATATTTTACTAAATATAGGAAGATGTTTCAGGTTAAGTGTCTCTGCTTTTGTGCTTTGATAGAAAAAAGGTGAAACTTCTGCTGCAGTGTATTATTTCACAAAAATGCCTATTGTGTATGGCATTCTTGTTGTGTAATACTCTTTGCTCTATCAGGAAAGTTTAAGTCAATTTACTCATTGTAGTGAAGTGTTTTTCTCTATTGCAGTGGCCTTAGTTCTTTGGCTTGCCCTGTGACGCTACCCCCAGCATGTTGAGCGAGTGAAAGGAGATCGAGTTACCGCACATAAAATTTTGAACTCAAATAAACAAGTTGTTTTTGTACTGATTCTGGAAATAAACTGGATTCTGCCATTATTCCATGTACTGTGCTGTCGTTACTTTGGCCAGCGGGATATTTCTCTCGTCATAATTTACAGGGCTGGAGCACTGTACTTATCTTTATGATGGTTTAGATAAGCAAAGTGTCCTGGATCTGACAGCACAGGCTCCCAGCCGCGAGCCAGCCGGGGCAAATCTCTGGTCGTTTAAATCCAACGTGAGCATAAACATGCTGTCTCTGTGTAGCATGACTGCCAGATGAGATTTTGAAGGAATGGGACACAGAGTGCCATAAGTGGAGTGGAAACAGTTTTTCTATCATAGCGGGATGAGGGGATGTCCACCATGAATCAGGCCAGTCTGAGTCACAGGGCGCAATGTATTGAGTACAGAGGAGGTCTCTCAACGTGACAGTTGTCACCTCTGGGGAGGCTGTAGTCTACACCCCATCAGCAAAACACATAACTTATATAACCCTCAAAACAAATATCCAAATATGTGAATCAGTGTTTCCCAATCCGCTTCTCAGAGACCCACAGACAGTCCACATTTTTGCTCCCTACCAGGAGTTGGGAGCGAGCAAAAATGTGGACTATCACTATCTGGCAGGGAGCTTGGAGGGAGCAAAAACATGGGCCGAGTGTGGGTCCCCAAGGACCGGATTGGGAAACACTGATGTAGATGGGTCAGAATGTATCGAGCTTTTGACTGAAAGCCTCAGTGGTTATTTGTTTTGTTGGTCATCTGTTACCCTCTCTGTTCAACGGACCATTATCTATGGTTAATATATAATACTAATTATTCTCCTCACTGGGATTTCCAAACATTGAGCTGGAGGTCTATGTACACAGTGTGTACTGGGAGTGTAGTCTGTGTACTCCACAGGGGAAATCATTACATTTTCAATCATCACATTACATAGCAGTATGCTGGACTTATAGTCAAAACATTTGCAGATTCAATTCCCGAGAGAAACCTAAACTGAATTTTTAAGAAGCGCCACAAATGGGAAATGGCAAATCTGAAAGCTGTATAAGCTGCTTTGTATAAATTGTCTTAGTAATAATAATAATATAGTATAATAATGTAACAGTAATTTATCACAGTAATGATTAGTCTGTTTTTAACTGCAATAGTACACCTTTAGCATGCATTCAGAATATAACTACAAGCCCTATTGTACAAAAACACGGCATCATGGTTTCTGTCGGGCACTTTTACACCCATGTTTGGCGCTGCTCTGCAGGTACATCGGAGCACTGGGGGTGCGGGTTATCTGTGACAACATCCCAGGCCTGGTGAACAAGCAGCGGCAGCTGTGCCAGCAGCATCCGGACCTGATGCAGTCGGTGGGCGAGGGCGCTGGCGAGTGGATCCGCGAGTGTCAGCACCAGTTCCGGCACCACCGCTGGAACTGCAGCACGCTAGACCGCGATCACAGTGTCTTTGGTCGCATCATGCTGCGCAGTGAGTGCTGCTGGGATTTTTTGAGAGGCAAAACATCCCAATTGAGGAAATTCAGTTTGTCTTTGAAGTGTGGGCTACTGGCTAGGGTTTGCATGGTTTACATATGTAAATAATAAACAAATCTAGCTGTTATTTCACATCAACACAAACATCATCCTGGCATCCATACTCTATGAAAATCTCCAGTAGCAACTGAGCCTGAAACCTTGGACTGTATTTTAGCTGATGCTACATGAAAATTATGAGACCGATTTTTTTTTATGCCACAAAACTTTTGGTGATGAGAAAAACTGGAAACAAAATTGCTGAATTTGTAATCATTTACTATGTTCCATACACAGCAGAGATGTTAAGAGGACAGTAGCTCACATTTTCTTTGAAACATAAACATACAGAATGGTTGACGACATGCAGCGTGACATTGTGACAGCAGTAAGGGACTGTCACTGCATAAAACATGCATATTGTGACCGGTGAACTGTAGCACGCCAAGTCACACCATGCAAAGTGTATTGTCCTACCATTGTTTTTTCACAGTTAGAATTCTCTACAATTTATTAAAGACTACAATAAAAATACACAATACATCAAGTACAGTCTACATACATCGAGTCTGAATCTTTTCATACTTTAGCTTTCTTACCTTATGCTGTAGGCAGCCGGGAAGCAGCATTTGTTTACGCCATCTCGTCAGCCGGAGTTGTTTACGCAATTACCCGGGCTTGCAGCCAGGGGGAGCTCAAGATCTGCAACTGTGACCCTCATAAGAGGGGCCGGGCCAGGGATGACAGGGGCAACTTCGACTGGGGTGGCTGCAGCGATCATGTCAACTTTGGGATCAAATTCGCCAAGGCCTTTGTGGACGCCAGGGAGAAGACAGTCAGGGATGCCCGTGCCCTGATGAACCTACACAACAACCGCTGTGGACGAATGGTGAGTGGTCGCTAAGAATTTAACGCTAGCTGGCTATATGGAACAGGTAGCATATGTATTAGAGAACTGGTGACTAACAGGCGTAATAAATCCTCATATACTTCAGGTCAGAGGTTCTAGAAAGCATCACGCTTTGTTTGGTTCAAACCAAGAAATTTCAAATGAAGGGGAGGAAATAGAGCAGAACTTGCTGATTATTTACAGTATCACTATTCTGCCACTTGAAAGCCACTTCTCACTCAGAAGAAGTCACAAAATTTTATGGGATCCCCTGTATTAGGGAATGACTTTTTTGAGGCGAAAGACGGGGTCGACGTCCCCCTAAATAGGATATAGCACTGCCTATTGGAATAAAATTATTATGTATTGTATTATATTTTTCTATTGTAATAGCTTCATTGACAAAAAGAAAAGAATATATGAATGAATGTGAATGAAACACATCTACTTAAGGCGTGTCAGACTTTGGCCCTCAAGAACTGGAATTTGGGAACCCTGGTCTAAAGCAGCATGCAAGTGAGGCAAATAGCACATTGCAAAAATACATGACATGAAGAAGTGAACTACACAGTTGCAGCTAGGCTGAGCTTTCAATGAACGCCCAGGTACTAGTGTAATCAGTATTGGAGTAGGAGCTACAGAACGACTTCCAGCAAAGCAAGAATCTAATGAGACCGTTCAAGGACAAGAAATGCCACATAAGATCAGAACATAAGCACTGAAATCATGCCACGCTCACAAATGTGCTGGAAAGAAGTCCGTCACAGGTTCAGTCCTTTACATACTACATTGATTCTATACTACAATGACTCTTTCCTTCCACAGGCTGTGAAGCGGTTTATGAAGCTAGAGTGCAAGTGCCATGGGATCAGCGGCTCGTGTGAACTCCGGACATGCTGGCTGGCTATGTCCGACTTCCGGAAGACTGGAGACTACCTCCGGAAGAAATACAACACGGCCATCGAGGTCACGATGAACCAGGACGGCACGGGCTTTGCAGTCCCCAAGAAAGCCCTCAGGAAGGTGACCAAGAGTGATCTGGTGTATGTGGAGAGCTCTCCTGACTACTGCCTTATGGATAAAGTGGCAGGTGGGTCAATGATCAAAATTAATGAAATAAGGATGTTTTTGGAGGTGGGGGTGTAAATCAGCTATCTCTGGTAGCATAGAAAATGGATCAAATGACAGCTAGAAGGCATTGCCATAGTGTGCAGGCAAGTTTACCAAAGTTGGCTCATTTCTCCAATCTCTTCTAACTATCCCTGCCCTAGGCTCCTTGGGCACAGCGGGACGCATCTGCAACAAGTCGTCACACGGGCCGGACGGCTGCGAGATCATGTGCTGCGGCCGGGGATACGACACCATGCGCGTGTGGCGCATCACCCAGTGCGAGTGCAAATTCCGCTGGTGCTGCGCGGTAGAGTGCAAGGACTGCGAGGAAGTGGCCGATGTTCACTCCTGCAAGGCCCCCAAGCACGCCAACTGGCGGGACCACACCTAAAAACACATGCTGCCCCCAGTCTCAGGATTTTCTTCGGGGGGGGGGGCTGAGAGTCTATTTAGTGTTACCTCCCATTCCACATTTTTGTCCGTTCACTTTGCATGACTTACTCAAAGGGCACTAAAACTAAACTTTTCCTATTGAAAGGTAGATGCATAAGAACCAACTTTATCTATTTGCTTTGTATGTATTGTAAGGCCAAGGACTGCATTGTCTGCAGTTACTGTGAACATTTCGTATATTTTTATGATTTCTCTGTAGTTGGGGCATGAGAACAGAAGTACTTCTCCCTTGATGCTGCAGTGCAAAATGATGCACTGCTTTTGAGACATTTGGAAAACACTTTTGTACCGAAATAAATTCCAGCTTCTACTGCAGTAGTGTGGCCATTATGTCTCTACAGTACCAGCATTCATTGCATTCTTGGTATTGTTCTGTCCTGGGTATACATATGTGACCATGTGACCATGCTGCTCAATAGGTGGTCTGTCTGACAGCAGAATGTGATTTTCACTGATGAAGGGATTCAACTATATAATGCTCTGTGTGCTTGAGCGTGGATGAATGGATGGATGGATGGATGGATGGATGGATGGACTCTGTGTAACAGAACAGAGATCAATTCTATATTTTTTGCATTGTTTTAAAGCCAAACCTGATCAATGGTACATAAATACATATATGAGGTTGAATGTGTCCATTAGGAGGGACCAGGGATCATCACAGTGAACTGTCCTGCTTCTGATCACAAGCCTGCCTGTAAATTTCCTGTAAATGCTGGCTTTATTTTAAATGTGTGTCCATATAAATATACAGTATTAATATTCACATTATTTATTGAGTTATTGCTTCCTTGCTTTAGAGAGTCTGACCTGAAATTGATGACTTGAAATGTGGAAGGAATGGAAATAAATGACCATTTACAATGCTTGGCTCATATCAATAAAAATTATTTGTGGAATAGTAACAGTAACACACAGTCTACTATACATCAAGACAATACACGTTTGTTATTGTTTCTCCAAAAAACAACATCTTCATGTTCAGCATCTCTTTTATTAGAGATATCAGATTAACTTAGAGTGTGCAAATAAATTTGCTTACAGGTTATAGCCAAAAAAAATTAAGACATTAAATCTAGTCAATGTGTAAAAATACAGTCAATCTGTATAGTACGTCATATACATAGTATATATTTTTCATGTGGGGTGGCACGTTGGTGCACTGTTACCTCACACCTCTAGGACCACAACTCAAGTCTCCACCCTGGCTCCATGAATGTGGAGTTTGCATGTTCTCCCCATGTCATCATGGGGTTTCATCCAGGTACTCAGGTTTCCCCGCTTCAGGGGAATTGGAATCACCAAATGGTCCACTGGTGTGAATGGTGTGTGTGCCCTGCGATGGGTTGGTGCCCCAGTCATGGGTTATTCCCTGCCTAGGCTCCCAACCCCTGTGACCCTGAACAGAACAAGCAGGTACAGAAGATGGATGGATGTTTGCATGCATTCAATCAACAGGGCATCAGTTCTGTTTCAGTTTCTGTTTTTGTCAAAATATGTAGGGAATAATGCTTTGGGCTTCGTTTGTGGAAGTCTCGATGAACCACATCAAGCAATGAAATGGGCTTTCATTGTGGTCTGATAGGCTTAAGACATTGTTCTGGTGGATTACCATTATAAAACAATTAGTGGAAGTTAATCGCCCACTGGGGGGCTTTTATTGCCTCATGCAGGGCTTTGTTTGAGGATTAAATTGACTGTGCAACAGGAATGATTTTCCACTGCTCCTTTTGTGGTTTCAAGAGTAACTGTTTGGTAACTAATGTTGCTGCATAACAGATTGTTTGCCCAGAACAACATTCAACTGCTCACTCAACCCATGCATACCTTAGAACAGATCTATGATCAGTGGTTCTGCAGTATGGTACCACCTGGGCCTCGAATCCATGCACATTTGGGTCCAGCTCTCTTCCTTTACTACCAACCCTACCTTCATTTTGTTCCTTAAGGGATATCCTAACTGATGCACAATTGTGACCCAGATTCAGGACAGCAAGAATAGGTGGAGAGGATTTAAATGTAACCAGGTTTAGCCCATGCTGAACAAGGTGGGTCCATCAAAATGTTGACACATAATCCAGCCATTAAATTAAGGCAGGTAGGGAACATCATGTCACCAGTATCCATCACCAGAGGTTACATGGTAATCTTGTCCATGGGTAAAGTGGAGCTAAATGACATGAGGGATAAACATTCTATACACAGAATTGCATTGTAATGTATCATTGTAATTTATTAACATGTTTAACAGACCAGAATAGAACAAGCAGGTACAGCATAGGTGCACAGTTGTGATTGTTATATGTAGCGATTCATTACTGATTCACTGATTTCCCAAATTATCTGCCAAGCTGCGTTTCTAGGCTTGCATTCCCACACCAGATGGAGCTCTCCCTGTGGGTAAACTGCTTGGTGTCTGTCTGCTTCTCCTGTCATACCAGTTCTCAGTGTTTCTGAAAAAGAAAAAAATTCCCTGGAGAACTGAGCACGCAGTGCTGACAATGTCATTGCAATTAGCTCCCTATACATCTGCTGCTGTGTTCGCTCAGAAGACCTCAGGGAGTGTGATCACCAGTGGACCCTCTGTTTTATGCCCTGGTGGCAATAAAGATCTCCAGCCAAGTGACACTGGCTGTTCTCCCAGGCTTGCACTGTAAATCCAAGTGATGAGTGTTCTCCCTATGCATGCCATTATGTCTACTGGCAACCTAAGTGCTGCAATAGCAACCCGACTATGGATCCATCTTTAACTTGATGGAGCATTATTCATATCAGAGGTGTTTTTTTTTTTAAAACAGAGTATCAATCAAATATCTCCATCCGTTTTCTATACCTGCTTATCTATTCATGATCGCAGGAAGGCCAGAGCCTATGGACACAAGGCAGGATGGGGCACCAACCCATGACAGGGCACACTCACACACTCTATCTATCTATCTATCTATCTATCTATCTATCTATCTATCTATCTATCTATCTATCATCTATCTATCTATCTATCTATCTATCTATCTATCTATCTATCTATCTAATCATTTTATTGATTTTTGATTTTTGCACTGTTGGGGGAACCTGGAGTGCCCAGAAGAAACCCCACGATGACACGGGGAGAACATGCAAACTCCACACACAGGGAGCCATGGCCAAACCCTGGTCCCAGAGGTGTGAGGCAACAGTGCTAACCACAGCATCACCACAGCCCCCCCCCCAAAATCAAATATCCTGGTCAGTGATTTCATAGTAATTTTTAATGCAGACTGCAATCAATCTGTAAACCAATGGTTGTCATAGTGGTTGTTGTTTGTAAGAATACTTATGCTCCATGGCAGATGGGCACCAGGCACAGATGTCTATTTATGTTTATTTATTCTTGGTTGATCACCCCTGAAGATTCTGGCCAGAAAGTAATAAGAAGAACATGAAGTTAATATCTGATTGAAGATTGACCGCAAAAGCAGAGATATTTCCATGGATTTTTGGTCAGAACTGGGCATCACATAGGCTTACATAGTGTATTGGTTTCCAGCTATCCTTAATTGTTATTTTATCCAGGTCATTATTTTTTCAAGGAGTTCCTTTACATGCCTTCATTAACTGTTAGATGATTCGCTTAAGGACTACAGCACTCAACTCCCGCTACAAACAATAATAAGGTCTTGTAAAATGTTATTTTGCAAAGTGTCTTACAAGAATGAGATATTCCGCTTGGTTAGGTATTCCAAACGTGGAAAAGGAGAGGCAGTGATGCTGAACACCTTTCGCCTCCCTCACACTCACCCACACATGCCCACAAACACACAAGGAGTAACAGACAGGAGCACAGGGTCACAAAAGGTGATGAGAATGATGCTTTCGGTGGTTGAAAACCCCCATTTCTATCATGACACAATCTGGCAACCTTGTTGGTTGCCAGATTGCAACCAAGAAGGACTAATCCCCACCTTGTTGCAGATTCATGGACGAACACAGACATTATGTCAAACAATAGTTGCCCAACAAAAAATACAGGCACTTAAGTCAGGGCTGTTCATTCCTGCTCCTGGAGATCTCCCACTCTGCAGAGCTTAGGTGCAGCCCTAATTTAACACACCTGCTTCAGCCTCATGACAAATGCCCTGTTCCAGTATTGTACAACTTCCATATTTGAAATGATGGTTAGCTCTGTTGCATCAGGTATCAGGGTTTGAGTCTCCGCCCCAGCACTTTGCATGTTCTCCCCATGTCATTATGGGGTTTCCTCCAGGTTCTCCACTTTCCCCCAAAAAGGTAAATTGTCCAAAAAAGGTGAATTGGAGTTGCCAAGTTGTCCATAGGTGTAAATTGTGTGTGTGAGTGGTGTACAGTATGTGTTTTCCCTGCAATGGGTTGATGCCCCATCATGCACTATTGCCTGCCTTTTGCCCATATCTTCTGGGATAGACTCTGGAACCCCAATACCTTGGGTACAGGAAATGGATAGAGGGAAACTGCCATGCCTGGAGAGGTAGTCACAGATTATTATTTTAATATGTAAAAGAACATACTGTCTTTACCATTCATCATAATGGACTGAGTTACACATATTTTGACATAGAGTATATGCAAAATTTCTAGGCACAAAAGACTCAAAACTGGGAGGCAAAAACACATTTTGTAAAGTTATTGTTATAAGTTTTAGAAAGCAATTTTCAGAGTTTAATTTTTTATACATATTTAGACATGTAGACCAAATTATTACCCAATAACTTTTTATATTATACTAAACGTAATCATAACACATGTAAATTGAAGCATGTATCCATACAGAGAATAATTAAATATTAACATTTTAATATAAGCTTCCATTGTACTTTAAGACTTTGGGTTTGAGTTTTATCCAACAGCATTGTTTTGTTCTAGCACTCATGTAAGGTGTCATGCAGCATGCATGCCATATACTGTATATGCACCTCCTCTAATTAACCTGTTGTGAGTCCTAGGGAGGAGGGAGGCGGAAATACTGGGAAATTGGGATTAATGTTTATGTGACCTCTGGGAGAAGGTCATGTGCTGGGCTGGATTGTTTGTTAATGCAGCTCTAGTCAGGTCAAGAGGATGGAACTGTTGGTGAAGGATTAGAATGTATAATCCCTTATCTGGCAATCAAAAATTGAGAAGTAAGGCTTGTTGACATGAGGGGTCAATGTGTACTGGGGTCTTTAATGAAGTCTTTATGGAATGATATACTGCTCTTAAACCAGACAGTTCACATATGGGAAGATAATTACACATCTGAGCAATATAAGCAGTGTCCTCATTTTCCCTTTCTCATCTACACTAAGTCAGCCTGTTTTTCATCAGGCCCACAGTTAGATGTTTGCTTCACAGTCACTGGACAGGATCATTTTATCCATGTACAGCTCAGGTTTATACTTTGCCCATTATTCCTGAACATTTAATGAGCTGTTGTAAACTAAGTATCTCTTACATAGATGTAGAGACAGATGACGTCATAGCCGCGAGTCAAGGACTTTGACGCTATATCTCCTGTTTACCCTTCAAGACCATGGGAGGTTTGGCTAGGAGTCAGCCTGTCCCTGCCAGACATAAAGGCCATCATGTGCAAAGTATGCTTGTCATGAGGTCAGCAAAGCTGACCATGCAGACCACAGTAGCAAATAGCGATGCTGATGATGTTGGTCCACCTTGAGTGAGAGTTTATAGAAGGCTGACAGGACGCAAACAACAGTGACCTTGGCTGATAGCATTAGTTTTGGGGGGGGTGTGGATCGGAGTGGGGGCAGGGGCACTAGCCAATGGGACAGGCGTGGGAAATAAAACAAGGGTGTGACATGGTCATGGTCTTTGCAAACAGTTTCATTGACAGTGCATAGCACTACATCCTGTTTATTCTTTAGCTGGAAAGTGTCATCCAGTTTGTGTTAACAGAAATAATTGATTTCCTTAACCTGTATGACCATTTCTTTCTCTATTATGTGCTTTTGCTTCACATTCCAGAAGGCCAGTTTGAAGGGAATTGCAGTTGTCTAGGTAGGAGATGAGCATCATCTAACAATGTTGTGATCGAAAGGCAAGTGTCATAGAGAAGCGATAGATATTTTTATCCAAAGCAACAATTATACCTATTTTTACTGGATATTTTAAGGGAGCAGCTCATCAATTGAAGCCCTGTCTTCTAGAACTTGGAAAAGCAGCTTTGAAGTGATTAACGAGAATGGTTAATGCCAATTCACGCTTCACTTTTCCGCATGCACTTTCGGTTGTGGATGACGATAAGTGAAGTAAATTTCGTCATCAGGGGCTAGCTGTGGATGGCTGAGGTTGGTGCACCTGTTGCCCAGATTTTTATGTCTTTTATGCCTAGTATAAAAGGTCACGTTTGTGCAAAAATCATGCTTTTTCATCAGCTTTAATGTTAATTTTCATTCATTTCCTGCTGCAGCTGCTCCTCATCCTACTCGCTCTGCACCCGTCGCTCGACCGGCTCATGCGCACCGCTCAATACTCCGGAAGCAGCTGGGCCTCCATAGTATGGCTCACCTCCTCACGGGCAACCAGTGTCACCTCTGCAGCTTAGCTTGCAGCCGCTGGCAGTAGCGCAGTGGCTATTCACCATTAGCAAGCTAAGAGGCCTCATTGGCCGTGAGCAGTGGAAGTCCCAGACCCTCTCACCCTCCCATTTCGCCGACACCTCGGATGGGGGTCCGATGGGCTGGCAGGGGCGGCTTGAGGGCGTGCTGCATTGGTTCGAGACGCTGTAGCAGGATGAGGGTCCAGCAGGCTGACAGGGGCGGTTTGAGGGCACATACACGGTGGGTAACTAGACATTACAAAGAGACATGCGAGGATCAGGCAAAGACCGAGTACAAACACAGATAAGCTCACACGAGACAATCAGGTCCACAGGAAAGCAATTAGAAGAAGACATACACAGGGGCTATATACAAGGCTCGCAAGCATGCTGGGAAATGTTAATAGGATCTGCTATGCGGCGCTATCTCACTGGCACTACAATACACACACACACACACACACACACACACACAAACATGCATATATATGCAGAAAACCTTGCTCTTTAAAGGCATATGGAATACATGGATGTGGTCAGCTAGAGCGTCTCCCAAGAAGCACAGACCATGACACAAAAGGATGGCTCATCACAGCACAAGTAAATGCTGTTAAAAGCTGCCCCCTCTGGTCCTCTTTGTCCTGCTCCTTTCTGGTAATGAGTTGCGATGAGTGAGTTTAATGGTTTCTTTAGTTGATCCCACAGTCGTTCTCTGATACAGGCATCAGGATCAGTAATAGTGCCACAGATTGGCCCTTAGGCTGATAAGGATGGTAATTAGAGGTGATCCTGCAATTAAAAGGCCAAGGAAGGGTCGCACTCTTGCCTCAATTTATGCCAAATTTACAGGGCTTTAATTCTTTTACTGGGCCTTCTGCTTCCCCTCATGTCCCCAGTGACTTGCTGCAGCCGCCCCGGTTTTGTTTAAAGTTTGGGCTTAATCTGATCGTTACAAAAGCCAGGTTCTCGACCATGCTGTAAAAACACTATCTCCCCAGCCCATTCCCAAAACAAAGTACATACACACAGACACTCCACTTTCTTGTTTTTGCTGCAGTTAATACTGAGGAATTTGTCTCAAGTCATGCAAAGAAGAAGGCAAATAAACAGCTTTAATAAAAAGCAGTAAAGAAGGCGAGAGCTACACTCTCCAGACTAGCTAAAATGTAGCCCATTGTTCTTAATTACTTACTTGGTAGACTGCATTTATCAGTAATAAAAAAACATATAGTAAATATCAGAATGCCGTAAGAATTACCATCAGAATGCAGTATCAGCATGCAGAATAAAACTTACCATATCTAATGAGAAGATTATATTTGCTATTTTAGTTAAGAGGTCTTTACCTACTACAAACTTATATATCATTATTTTTGCATTAATTTAGGAATTGCCCTCTCCCTCTAATACCTAAATTTCACAAACTATTGTGTCAGTTATCAGAATGACTACATACTATACCATTTTTTCAGATTTGTCATGACTTGACCAGACAACTACAGTATACTTGAGGTGCCTCGTGGCACACAGCACCGTAACTGGAAGCAAGTGAAGAATACTGCATTAGTAAACCTTAACTTCCATAAAAAGTTAACTTGTATTAACTATTAACTTGATTTGTTTTAATTGAAGAGTGGCACAGTGACCCATTGGTTTGATTTCAGACCTCCAGGCTTTTCTCCATTGGTCCATGTGTCTGTTGTCCCACAATTTACAAACAGCTGAACTGGAGTGTAAACCCCTCAAAAGTGCCCATAGTGTGATGGAGTGGCATCCTGTCCAGGGTGTCCTATGCCCAGGGTGTCCTATGCCCAGGGTGTCCTATGCCCAGGGTGTCCTATGCCCAGGGTGTCCTATGCCCAGGGTGTCCTATGCCCAGGGTGTCCTGGCTGGGTCGGGCTTCTGGTTCACCGTTATACTGCATAAGCAGCCAAGGAAACAGGACAAATGCTTCAAGTGAACTATAGGACCTTGCCTTTTTATATTTGTATGTTTTGTTTTTATAATCAGTTGTGTTTTGGACTGGAACAGGAAAGCTCTTTGATATGCATGTATATATTAAGCCCTAATTAGCTATAATAATGAGTGAGGCAGACAAACAGATGAAGCTAACCACTTTGGGAGGGTTAATGTGTGCAAGGGCCACTTCAAAGATTCTAAGTGGATGGGGCACCGTGGGGGTGACGGTGCTGGACGAGAGATGGGTGGATTTCACCGAGGATCTCTGAAGCCCTTCAGTTACAGGAAGAGCACTTGAGCAAAGCTGAGTATGGTGTCAATCACAAAGTGGCTCTTTTAGCACCCAGCCCCCCCCCCACTGCTCAATGGGATGGATGGTGAGAGGAAAAGCAAAAACGAAACACAGGGAAAGGGATATGAGGCATGGGAGATTAAGGTAATGCGACGAAAGGGAGTCAATGAGAGGAGGAAAACGTTAATGAGAGAAAGGAGACAGTGATGGACAGGAATAGAGATGAACATGCTATAAATTCCCTGAGATGATATTCTTGGACATGAATTTTATTTTTCACATCAGAGCAGTGCAGTAACTTTGGGATTAATGGCCTGTAAATTCACATTAGTGCAAAAAATGTTGACCCCCATAAAACAATCAGCAGTTATTAATCGTTTATTGACCGTGGAAGGAGTGAAAGTTTAAACTCGTTTTAATTACACAGTGAATATGATGGCGTTGGGCAATCCTTACCTACAGTAAGACCTACTGTACAGGCCTTGAGGTGCAGGCCACTGTACAGTGCAGTGTTTCTGCCACTGTACAATGCAGTGTTTCAGGGTGGGGTGCAACACAGCTGGTTATAACTCTTTGCCCATGATCAGAAGGTTCCCAGTTCAAATCCTGTGGTTTGATTGATGCTGCTGTTGGGCTTCTGGGCAAGGCCTTTAACCCCAGGTTCTCTAGCGGGGGCTAGACACTGACGAACCCTGTGCCGTGACCCCAAATCTTGCGTTCACCTGTCTGTGTGTCTCATGGAGAGAAGGTTATCACAAGTACAAATTGCACCACAGTGATGAATAGAGTATCACCATTCTTTTCTGATATTTTAACATGATTTTTTTAACAACAAAGAAGCCTGAGAAGCAGGCTAAAGGGAGTAGGGGTTGTGTAGAGGACTTTAAGAGCAGGGATCTACATCTACGTGACTTTTACATTGAATGGCGGTATATAGATGCGTATTACTTACACTATAAAGGCACCATTGTGTGTCTTCTGTGTGTTAAACAGCAATGGTTTTGATGTGATTCTAATGCATGATTAGCAGCTTTTGTTGCTTTCCACAGGGCAAAGATACACAAACATCTTGTGATTCCAGCAGGGTAATTTGTCTTATTAACAGTCACCCAGAAGAAACTGACATACCAGTATATCAGTAACATCGGGAGGTGAGGTGTCCTAATGCCAGACATATCTGAGAATCTTTTTCTTGGGTGACACAGTCTTAACGACTTGAAATTCATCAACACCATGGGAAGGGCTTTGGAGTTTAAGAGTGACAGGACATTGCATCAGGACTCAAATGGGGACACGGAACGCAGAAGAAGGTGGCTGCAACACTCCCCATTTGGAAACTGGACACGAGTAATAAGGTTTTAACTGGATCAATAGAGGTCAGGGGTGCCAGAGGGGCATGGGTACCCGGGCAGATTCAGGGGGCCCTTGAATTTCTAAAACTGGGCAGGTGGAGGGGGGCAATTTCTAGGAACATCCCAGATGGAGGTTAAACAAGGCTGTAAGAGTGTGTCTCTTCTGCATATTGCCCTGAATCAAAGGAGATCAAAAGGATGTTTTACTGGCATTAATCGAGAGAATAAGGCAGTGATAGGAGCGTTTGGTAGCGTTTGGTGGAGTTGGCTTTTTGAGTCAGGCATGCAGATTGATTAAATTAAGAAAATCCAAGGAACTGTACAGTGAAACTGCCACCCTGTCTTGTCTCTCTAGCCCAAACTCCATATTCCTTTTCCTGATCCTTAGAGATTATTTCTTGCATCATACTGAGACAGGCAGATGGAAAGTAAGCCAGCTTGAGAGGCTTCATGCCATATCTGCCTTCACCAAGTGGATAAGTCCACAATTTTTTAGTTCTGCACAGCTACTAAGAAGCAAGTGTCTTTCTTCATGCTGCTGTGAGTCTAATACCCTTGTAATTCTTTCCATATGAAAAGGGGTCCTGGGGCTCGTCACGTTACAGTTGCCTGACATTCCAAGGCACAGTCCTGTTCACTTTATGTAATATTTCCTCCCTTTGATCCCAATGCTGCTGCGCCATTAGTAAGAATTTTGACATTTCTCTACTAACATCCGTATCAAATAAGGATTAGCTGTGGTTCTCGGCTGTCAAGGGGCCAAAAGGTAAAAATGGAATAATGATGAATCATTCTGCACTAAAATGATGAGCAGACTTGAAAGCATGACCCAAACAGAATGTCCTCATGTGGGGTCGTGATATTTCCCATACAGCACTTCTATAAATTGCCAGATCACAGGTGGGGGCAGCAGTAAATTCTACTTGCTATTGTAATCCTCAAAGTGTGAGAAGAGAACTTGCTCTTGTATGCTTTCTGTAAAAAATATGTGATATACAGAATAAAATCCTTCCATCCATCCATCCATTGATTTTCCATAACAACAATGCAGGGCCACAGTGAGTCCAGAACCTATCCCAGGACCAAAGGCATGCAATAGAACAAAATTCTATGTAATTTTCTTTAAATTAATCCATTGTCTAAAGCAACATAATAATAATACACTGCCCAGCCTAAAAAAAATGTTACCATTTGAATTTAAATCGGCAAATACTTAAAGGCCAATGACTGGATCATTACTACAGCTCAGCAACGTTATGCAGCAATAAATTGAAGTTAGCTACCTGAATCTACTGACTGGCCAGGTTACCCCTCCATCCATCATGAATGGATTTTTTCTTTCCTGATGTCATGGGCATATTCCAGGGCGAGAAAGCCAAGATTCATCAGGCTCGAATTTTCAAAGATTGGTTCAGGAGCATGAGGAATCATTTTCACACATGAATTGGCCACCACAGAGTCTTGACCTTAACCCCATTGAAAGTCTTTGAGATGTGCTGAAGAAGACTTCATGGAGTGATTCAACTCACTTTGTCAATACAAGATCTCAGTGAGAAATGGATGCAAATATGGATGAAACTAAATGCAGAGATGTTGCATGAACTTGTGGAAACAATGCCATGAAAAATGTACGCCATAATCAAAGCTAAAGGCCGTCCAACGCAACAATTCAAACGGCAACTATTTTCCTGCCTGGACAGAGTGTATAACGAAGCACGATAATGTCATGCCTGGGGACCATTTAAAAGTTCACAAGTTGTTCTCTCAGCACTGTGAACCCTCAGGTTTTTTTCCTCTGTAAGACGGATCTCAGTGGCATGTAGTTCAGCAGGATCGAAGATCTGCGGTGCACTTAAGTCTGATGAAAGTCTATGCGTGCACCCATTTTTGATCGAATGTTCAATGAGTCATCAGGACAGCACCGATAGCATGATACAGGTGCATGGTGGGGAGCAAAATGGGAAGGCATGTGAACTAGGTGGAATGCGGTGGGGGTCCAGCACAGATCAAAATGCCAGCGGGGATCTCCTGCAGCTCAGTGTGTCGGCTCAGTCTGCACCTCCCTGCCACTGGTCGCCCCAGCAGTGTGAACACCGGGGTGTTTTAGAACCTGTTGTGAAACACTTCATATTTAGTTTGGTTCTGGTTCAAACCTCCACTGTCATGCTGGACATAATGATGTCTGTGGGAGATAATCTCCAAGAGGATAAGTAGGGTTAGCTCGCGTTCACCCCCCAGAGAGACAGCCTTTTCATAGCCTGGTTACCTCTCCGCCAGTCCATTTCATTTGCAGATAAAAAATCAGCATCCTAAACCATTTTTGAAAGTGAATGAATATAAAATGTAGTAACCCTGTACTGCATAAATTGTTATATCGGGTGGGTGGATAGATGATATATAAAATTCATAGTGTGTAAGTTCCTTTGGATAACTATATTATACCAGTGCACACCCCTCCCCCCCCCCCCCCCCCACCCCAGGAACACCCCCTGCGCTGGGTGAATTTAATCGATTTACTATGACAAAATGTGGTGGAGACAGCAGACCTTTATTTCTATGCCACTTTGTACCTTTAAATAGATATTCTCTATACTGTTTCAAGTTTTTATTACAACTATGAATTAAAAGATACTTTTCAATGTTTTTTAGATATTTGCACTTTTTTGTTAAACCCTTTCTTTGGCCCAGCTAATCGAATAGTTCACTGCCCAAACACAAGATTAATCACTTATTAAAATAACCATCATACAACCCTAAATAATAATATTAATAATAAGAAAGAAAGAAAGAAAGAAAGAAAGAAAGAAAGAAATAATGCATATTGAGTGGTTGCACAAGCTATAAAGTGATTCATTTCAAATGAATGGTTAAGAAAATGCAGTCATTGACTATCTAACATTTCTGTATTCTAAATGTTTTTGCGATTTTTATATTTTCATGGTCACTGTAAAAATAAGTGTTTCACAATAGTACAATTAACACCAAAATATGACGAAAGGTACTTAGTCATTTTTATGTAACATTTTACCTCAGTAGTTTTACATTAGCCGTACCTGCAGTGTCCTTCTTAAAGCAAGAGAGACACCCTCTGGTGGAGAGACAGATACGCTTGAAAAGTCGCTTTTGACCAGGCTCTTTACTGCATTTGGAATTTTATGTTGGGTGGGAGGGCTATACATTAATCTATAACTTAGGAAGCTATACTTTTAAGAAAAGTTAATTCTCAATACAGTTTCCCTATTTATAGAGACAAACTTACATCCCTTTTATATTAAAGAATAAGGATTAAGTACTGTATCTTACTCATGGGATAAACTGCAGCTTTCTGCCAGAGAATTTAATCTGAAGCTGTTTAACCACAAGTACATTTTTCTATTTGCTTAGATAATCAGCTGCCTGATATATGATATACTTGCAACCTACTTACAGCCTTGATGCTCACACAATCAATACATTTTAAGGCAAGTGCATCAAGATCAGTATAACCTTTCCTTGATAGGAAAGGCTCATCAAGAGACAATACTCTTGCCCCCAAGTTCCTTTGTTGATTAACTTAATGTTAACCTATAGGTGAGTGAAAATAATCTATTCTGGAAACCAAGGATGAAGGATTTTTTGTGAACTTTCTAAATAACAGAAAATTAAAACAGTAAACTGAAACCCAATCACTGTTCTTTTTTCAGATATATCATTGGCCTTCATGATTTTTGCGCAATTGTTTCTGGTAATTCTCTGCAAAGGTGTAAAAAATTATGACCTAATTTTCTGCATACATTCCACTTACTCTGCTGTTGCTACACTAGTTCTGGATGAAGCACTTACCCTGTTGATTTACCAATCCAGAGGGCACACATAATCATATGCATTCAATAAATTAAGGTACTTAGTTTACATAACGCATGTTTACTATTATCAAGCTTTCTTTCTCTAGACAAGTCCTGAAAGATTTAACAAAATATCACAGCAATTGTACACTCATCATTTATACTATTGGTGCTAAGGGAACCAGGGTTATGGTGGAAGCACTACATATATACCAGAAGCATGATGAGATGTAAGACTGGGCAACAGGAGTGTCAGAGGGGCATGGATGCCCTGGCAGATTCAGGGGGCCCAGCACCTGATAGGAGCCCAAATTAGGGCAAGGTGACATTTTGTCAGGGGGCCAGAATTTCTAGATATGTCCCTTTCTGGCACCCTCTATGGTGGAACTAGTTATCTTATTGTTTATGGGATGGCTTGGGGGCGAAGTGACTTCACATCTCCATGGTTATGGGTTTGGCTCCAGCCCTGGCGATCAGTGTGTTAGTTTCCATCCATGATTTTCCATAATCCAAGAACAATAGGTGGATTGATGCCTCTGAATTTCCCTGACTGAGTGCCCTGTGCGTCCTAGAGTAGCCTCTGGACTTGTTGCGCCACTGCACTGGAAAAGTAGTTACTGTATCAAAAACATAAGTGTTTTTCTGGCTGGCCGTGGTTTTAAAGTGGGTAGGAAAACCTACAGAAACTGCTGCCTGTCTAGGCAGAGAAATGCTGACACGGAAAATATAAGGGTTAAACCAACTGCTCTCAGTTCAGTTTTTAATATTTGAATCACCAATTAATTACGGATGTATTACACTAATTATCAAAATAATTTATGCGATAACTTTTGTGCCAAATCTTATTACAGAACAGTGTTTAAAGCTATGTTACAGCTCGTGATAATTGGGTTGTTTCTAAATAACCGCAATTTGCAAGATGCTCTCTACAACAAACAGAAGACAAAAACTAAAATTGAAATGTCACTATATTACTATAAGTTTTGTGAATATCACCAATGACCAGTAGTGGGCACACGACACATTTCTAATAAGATGAAAACTGACAAACTGGGCGAGTAGCAACGTTCCCAGGATGCACCGCGAATGAAAAAAACGGGTCCAGAAGAGCCAAGATGGCCGACGTCGAAGATCAGCTTACTGATGAGGAGAAGGTATAATATTTGTTTTCTTCTGCAATTAAATAGGTTTTTCAAAATTAACGTTTGGTTTTCTGATATTATATGTCGTCTACACCTGTCCAAAGAGAGTAAACATGTTGTGTTGCGTTTTTGTTTTCTATTTTGGAATGCAAAATATGATTTCTTTGCTAGCGACTAGCTCAAACAGCTGTAGTTTACTAGCCTTTCTATTTGATTGTTATTTTTTTTTAAACTTTGCTTTATATATTTGCTATGCGCTTGTAGTTTATTGTTTGTTGTAACACTTTACTTTGTGCTGTTGCCGGTAAGAAACATTGTTATTTAGGGGGTTGTGGCAGTCTAAAACAAGAAGCCAAGTTAAGTTCCGTCTTCCAATGTGAATTAGCTTCCTAATCAGACAGCCATTGCTTTATAGTGTCGTTTACTCCAAAATAACCGCATTCTCGGGGGAAATGATCGTAAACATGCATATAAACTGGGGTTATATTTATTCGTGTTTTACTTTTATCGACATCCGACCGAATCGGTCGGCGGAAAAGTCGGGGCAGCCCTAACAGTGGAGGCACTTTCTGTTTTGCAGAAATGTCCCCTCCCTGTTAGTGTCAAGCCTAAGTGTTTTTTGCTGTTCCGTTTTCCTCTTTTCAGAGATGTCGGCGCCAAATACAGAACCAAATAGCTAGTTAACAAACCGTAAATTCAAAACGAGAGGCTTCTGTTTCCTGTTTTATGACGCGAAATGCTTTTGTCAACCGCGTATGATACTTTCGTCGCTATTCCACACTATTGCGTTTTTTGTCTTCACTTAGTTATATGGTTTAAGTAACATAGATGTTATGGAAGAGGTAGGCGTCTTACACTTTTTAATGCGTATTGAATTATGAATTTTGGTAGTGCAGTTCTGAAGTGTTGGTAGTGTGACTTAATCTTGATTTGCCTGTAATTTAGAAATAAAACAATAACATTTGCTTTCACATTGTTTTTGACTGTCGAAGTTGTGTTTCTAGTGTGTTGTGTTGCAAATGTGTGTGCTTTTCCCAGTGTCCCAATCCGACCAGGCACTGTGCATGCCTGTTTTATTTATGCGGATTGCTGATCTTTTCTCCTCAAGAAATAAATAAGGCAGCTATTATTATTTATTTCTGTGAATAAAGAAAGATGTTTGTTTCTGAGTCTAGTCCAGGAACCTGCACATTCTTGCTCAGAAATGTGTATGAATTTGAGAACTTATTACTGTGGTAAATGGAACTACATTTAAGGTTCTCTTTTGAGAAAGATTTTTCTTTTTTAAAAAGGCGGCTGTGCCTTTACGTAATGAGGATGTAAGTGTATTAATGTTGAACTGTGTCAAGAAATGAAGAATGGTAGCAGGCAGCCATACTTGTTCATGTAAGGAGTGGTGTGTGCTGGGCTCCGGCTATCAGATGACAGTGCATGCACTTGCTGCTCGCGATCAGCTAATGTTAAGTATGAAACCCCTGTCAGTTCTTGTGCCAGTAATGCAGTGCTGTGGCCCTAGTAGGGTTAGTGTTTTTTTTTTTTTTTTTAATCTTTGACTCAAATGTATGCGCAAATCATGTAAGCAACTGTTTATGCTGATACAATAAATGTTTGTGCTAGTAGTAATTTTCACATATTATATGCAAGTCATGCAAGTTTAACCAGCTGTGATTCTGTAGACTGAGGGCAGCTTAATGTGAGGTAGAGGAACAACCTGAAAGAGGTTGGCAGGCTTGTTCAGTGCTGGAATGTGCAGTAACATTCTTGCTCAAGGTTCAGTGGGTTATGTTGTGAAACTGCTGAGCTCAACGTAGCCCGACCCTCATGGCTCCGTATAATCTGAGCATAATGAGACACATTCAGACTGGGTATTAAATAGTGGTATACTGTAATAAGACTGTTGTTTGGCAAAATGGGGGCAAGGGTGTCTGAAACCATACCTTTCTTTTTTTCAATAATTGTGATCTTTATTTGTGTAGTCTTAGTTCATTGATTCTTAGAGAAAGTTGAATTGCTAAGAGTGAAATGAAAATCCCTTCAGGTGATGCCCATCAATGGGTACTTGTCCACTGCACCAGTTACTGAATTTTTGGTATTAAGCTATTGTTGATTGGTTATGCAAATAACCTGCATTGCAAGCCCAAAATACAACCACCATCTTGAAAAAGCATAGTTACAAAATCAAAAAAACAATGATAAAGTTAAAAAAGAAGTAATGTTGGATGCATTGACATGAAAGAGATCCAAGCTTTAACTGTGATCTGGTCGGAAGAATGGATTACGCCAGATCTGGATGACATTACAAGAAATAAAGTACTGGCAATAATACTGCGAAGTGAATTTTTAAAAAATATTGTGATATTTATAAAGCCATAAAGGAGTTCAAAATTTTCCCAAAAATAAATATAGCCAAATAGACTTTATCTACCAATAAAGTTTGTCAAATAAGTTTGTGGTGTTGCCACGAGTTGTGCTGACAAATCACTTGCTTTTGCTCAGTATAATCTCTGAGTAATCAAAATATTTCCATACAACAGAAGGTGAATGACATTTAGTGACCAGTTCTAGCTTGCTTTTCTCATTCCTGCTCATTTTAAATTTCTCGTAAATGTCAGTGATTTAAGCAGCAAGTCTCCTTATGAAGTGAGAACTGCATGTGCCTATCATGCAATGTTGATATTAGTATTGCACATTAACCAGTCCTGTGATATAATATAATAGCCATTTTTTAATTCAGTGCACAACACCCTGCCGCATGTTCCCATTTTTCATGCCAGTGCAAAATGAACACAAAACTACCATTGATATTGGTGCTGTTTTGAAGTATCAAAAGTTCAGTACCTGGTGCAGTGGAAAAGCACCCTATTTGCATTGGAATGGTTGTGTCTGTGTACTTCATGCAATAGTCAAGGAGACTGGCTTCATTTTCAAATTTAGGCAGTTTTCTTGTTTTAAAAAAATTGCATAGGTTAAAGCATTAGTTTTACTGTTGGATGTTTCCTGAGATTTCAAAGGATAGGTGATTTCCTCAGGGCTGAAGAATTTTTGTTAGAACTTGGGCCTATAAAATAAAAAATATACAAATATAAGTCCCTGGTAGTTCACCAAAAATGTCTGTTCCTTTTAGAGGAATCATTACAAATTGTCACAATTACTGTACCTTTTTTATTGTAGTGAAATAAAATTTGGACTCTCTTTGGAGTGTAGATTTGTCTGTTCTTGTCTGCAGTGATTGTGTAAAGGAGGACATTCCTGGGACCAGTGGAACTTCGGATTTTGATGGAGCTACGAGCTACATGTTTGTACTTGTGGAAATATTGAGGCCGCCTTCCCATTCAGCAGTGGGCATTCTGTGACTTGAATGGGCTGCTGGCAGGCAAGCTCATCTCCAGGGCTGGATGCCTTTACTTCATAGGCTCTTGGGTCTCTTCCCTGTTTCTCAGGTGAGGAGAGAAGTTCCAAACACAGTGCGGAGAATTAGACTCTCTTGTTCAGTTAGGCCTTTGGCTTCTGAGTGATGTTCGACAAGAGGTACCATTTGCTTCGGAGCCTTTGAATATGTTTCTGTGTGAGCATCCCTATATCCCTATGAGTTTATCATAGGATGTAACAGACTGAAAAGTTTATTGTTTTGATATGTGAAATGGTATGCAGTTGTAGGACTGGCATGTAGCACTGATGTGATTGTGATACTTAATTATTTTGTATTTTCTAGACTAATTTTTATAGAAAACGCGTATGCCTTGCTGGACAGGATCCTGCTTTACAGGAACATTTTTACAGGAGGATGCACATATGTCTCTTCAACTTGAGCAGACATTTGGGGAACAGCATTAGGAATGGTCTGTGATCATACTCACTCATTTTCTGGGTCACAGAGAATGCAATCTTGTATGAACATAGTGTACTCACTTTTGGAATCCAGCCTAGCAGTGCCACAGTAGGGGCTGTTTGAGGGTGTGTCCCACTGTGATGAATAGACTTGTGGTCAGTGGGTGGAACAGCAGGGAATGACGAAGTCTGACTGTGGGCCCGATTATGTACAGTTCATTCTGAGAGACCATTCACTTGTTACTGTTGAAATGTAAAGGAGGAAGACAAAAAAAAATCAGTGCATTTGTGCTTGATCATTTCAGCAACGGCTTCCTGAAATTCTGAAGGATTGATTTACTCGCTTATCTGTTATCTTCCCAAGCAAATTACACAAAAAAGTGCAAGAATCCATGACCCACCAAGGGTATAGGAAGCTTGTAGTTGGTCACAACCGACCGTCAGCAATGTCCATGTGTTGGCCTGTCCGTTAATAGAGAGCAAACTGAAACCAGTGCAATTTGCAGTACTCAGCGGTCACCCGTTATGGGGGGTCATAGAACCTTGCTGTAAGTTTACCCAAAGATAGACTGGCAATGACTCTCTAACTCTTATATTACCTGGGACTGGTGAAGTTATGGCCAGAAAGTAAGCAAGACAGCCACTCCTTGTTGCTGCTTGTTGGATTTCAGGAGGGATGTGCAGTTCTATTGGAGGTTTTTTTTATGGGGGTGCTGTTGTGTGTATTGTCTGATTCTGTCCGTGACTACTGCTGTAACACCAAAATGTCCCTTTGTGGGATTTCTGAAGTTCATCTTACCTCCTGTCTGGCAGCTCTGTTAGACCAGTGATTTAAATCAGATTCAGCATGAGGTAGCTAGTTGAGGGTCTGAAGGCTAAGGCATAATTTGGGATTACATCAGCTCGAAGCAATGGGTGATTCCGTAGGGTGTGGTGGCCTTGTGGTTCTTGCTACATCGCCAGTGCTACAAATACTGTATTTGCATGCTGCATTTCTGTACTTTACTCTGCTGCTTTCTCGTGCAGTGAAATTTGCATGCTGGTTTCAGGCATCTCACCTTTGCCCTCTATCACTTAGGGTTATCTAGTACACAGCTGACAGGCCACTTGAGTTGGTACGTACATGCCAGGAGGTGATATCTGTGATCAAGGGCCATTATATTTCGATTTACAATGAGGGAAGATGGGGAATTTGGGGGCAGATGGCACAGTGGCCCTCTTCAGAGGGGAGATCATTTCCCTGAGTGTGACTGTAGATGGTCTCGCATACAGAACACGTACACATACATTCAGAAAGTCGTACTTAGTCCTTTGCACACTTTCATATTTTCTGCCACCCTAGTGTTGCTGCTCGTACGTCAGTGGATGTTTCACATCCTCGCTTGTTAGGGTAGTGATTTTTCAGGTTGGTCCATCCCAGGAGACTGCAGGCTCAAGTATCATTAGGGCTGCTGTGCCCGTGAGAGATGTACTTGACCTTTATTGTTTGGAAGATTAGTCACTTTGACAAAATTATCAATAATTGAATGAGTGAGTGAAACAGCTGCATTTTTTAAATGCTCTAGACCAGGCGTGGTCTTATCCGCAAAGGGCCGGTGTGTATGCAGGTTTTTGGGATAACCTTTAGGTCAGCTGTTAAAACCCAGGTGTGAAAACTCTTCAGCCAATCAGTAATCAGTAATCTAAGGAGTTACAGCAAAAACCTGCCTACCCAACAGCCCTTTCTGGTTAAGATTATCCAGCCCTGTTCTAGATCCTAATCCGTTTTCACTTATGTGCCCATGTGCAAAGAGTTGGCTTCACTACCATCGATGGTGGGACTCTAGAGAGATATGCAACAGGGAAAGATATTAGGGCAATATCTGCATCTTGTCTTGGTTACACTCGTGTTTTGGTTCAGTTCAGTGTCAGTCCTGAGTTTACAGAAATTTTGAAGTGGACTGCTATGCTTGTCAATTCTAAATTAGAAATCTGGTTTTAGTTGCCTACAGTAGTCGGTAGGCAAGGTGCTGGCTGCTCTTTGTAATTTCTGTAATGTTTTTTTTTTTTTTTTGCTTCCCTGTTCATACGGTGATGACGTCTTCCGTACTGCAACCCAGAGTACCACAGCATCTGTGCTGTCTCTCAAACAGGATGTTGTTCAGATAGCAGTCTTTACTTAAAAAGGCAAGACAATGAGAAACAGGAAAAGCGAGTTTGTCGCGGGCTGGGTAGGAAGAGTTGTGGTGCTGGCCTCTGTGGCATCTGCCGGCTGAGCTTAGAGGTCTGCTGTTTGCCGGCCACAGAGAGCTCTCCCACTGCTCGCAGCAATACTGGTGCAGGGCTGGGATATGTCTGTCGGCAGATACCAGCAAGAAATAGCCTAGGCCCTATATCACGAAGCGAGATTTGTTGGTTAGCTACATAATTTATCGGGTTTTATATACCCCAGTTTAAATGGATTTTATGTTGTTCTCTTACATTTATCCCAGGCTACCTTAAATCTGACAAGTTATCTAGCTAACCAGTGAATCTAGGGACCTGTATGTGTCACAAAGCTAGTCTGTTAAGAAACTAGTTGTTTGTGGTAGCATAGGTGGCTGGGGACAGTTTGACCATAAATGAGGAAGAGAGCACAGTGTGGCCGTTGCTGTAAAGTAATGTTTTGCAGTGTCCATCTACTCTTAATTGTTCAGTCATTATTTACCTGTGAAATGACAACACATAGTGTACCAGTTGGAAAGTAAGTGGTCTTGGCATGACGAGTATAGAGTTTTCCTCAGTGGTAGTAATAGGATGGATGGGAAATTAATACACATTTCAGGCATTGAGATCATCTCTTGATGTCATTTTCTTTCAGGTGCGTATAGCTGCCAACTTTGTTATCCATGCTCCCCCTGGAGAGTTCAACGAAGTCTTCAATGGTGAGAGTCTTTTCGTTTCAGTTCGTGTCAAATTAATGAACTGATAGTGTTGGTGGGTGTCAGGCCTGGATTTGTGCTGTATATATAGTTAGTGGTGACCTGCAAATGTATCTCATTTCCTTTATGTAACTGGAGCAGCTACCTTATCTGTTTTGGTGTAGTTTGTTATACGACACACTTGATAAGTTCTGTTTGGTTATCGTTTATTTAGAGCAATTTCATTTGAAAAAAAATATCACCGTAAATATAAATATCACCGTTACTCAAGGAAATTCCACATTTCACAGTGTGATGTCTTGCAGCACTAGTAATAACCAACTGTACTTCAGGAAGTTACCGCAGTACTATCTGGGCTCAGTTGATTTGGGCTGCATGCATATAAACATCATGTTTTGGTTCATTGTGCCAAAAATAGAGGTGAATTAGGGGCCTGTTTTGGGAACTAAATCTTTGAGTGCCTCATCCTCTAATTTCTCTGCTCTAGATGTGCGGCTTCTGCTCAACAATGACAATCTCCTCAGGGAAGGAGCAGCTCAGTGAGTATAGATTCGTTTCCTTATCTCTGGAGACCTACCCCTCAGTTTAACTTCAGATGGGGGACTTTCTCAAATCTAAATATGTATCAGTTCTGCTTTCAGATAATTAATTGCATTAAAATAAGTAGTAAAAATGTAGCCTTCAGTTTTAGATGATTTTGCTTCCTGTAACTGTTTAGCATTGTCTTCAGTCAGTTCAGCTTTGCTCACTATTGTTTAAATTCAGCTTCAGTTTCTTAGGTTGCATCTGATCTTGCTAAAGAAATCACAATTTCTGCATAGTTTTTTATATCCAGCAAGTTTTTTTTCTTACCTGTAAAACTAAGCTGTAAAACCTGACATGTGAGACGTGCTGAGTTGAACTGTAACCATTTACTGTTATGTTTACTCTTTCATTTGTTGTAACATTTTAATATACAATGTCCCCTGTGGTTCACAGTGCCTTTGCCCAGTATAACATGGATCAGTTCACCCTTGCCAAAATAGAAGGGTATGATGACCAGGTATGTCAACATTATTGTTTGAGCATAAAGAATTGCATGATGCCTGCTCTCCTGTGCCATTTAATGATTGTACCAGTATATCATTATGGTTTAACCCCTGCTGCTCTCCTGAGGAACGCCACATAAATTAGACCACTGTGTGGTATTTTAAATGTCAAAAATCTGCATAAGCTGAGAGAAACTACCAATAAGAATAAATTTCATAATACCTAAATTATGGGAGACAGAATATATTGATTTTATCAGTAAGGGACCATCTTCTGACACAGTGCTCACTTGTGCCCTCTTTCAGGTCTTGATCACGGAGCACGGTGACCTGGGTCAGGGCCGCTTCTTTGACCCGCGCCACCGGGTGTCCTTCCGCTTCGACCACCTGCGCAAGGAGGCCAGCGACCCGCAGCCCCACGAGGGTGAGGCGGCGCTACGCTCGTGGAGGGAGGCCTGCGACACCGCCCTCCAGGCCTACGTCAAGGAGCACTACCCCACCGGCGTGTGCACGGTACGCTCCCGTCACCCCTCTCCTCGTGACTGGCCGCTCCTGCTCTCTGCCTCTGTCAAAGCTGTACCCTGAAGTCTACAAGTTCTATGCAGATCCTCTTGTGTATTATTTTCTATTCAAAATGTATAATAATTGTACAATTGTACAGTCTTTCCGTAATCTGGCGACAACAGAACCAAATTGGTTGTGGGAGAGGGATTTAGCCCATAATAATGCTAAATTAAAGAACAAATTTTGTGGGTGTACATGGATGTGTGTTAGAGTGCTTTAGAGACGTTTAGGTATGTTGGTCACCTTGTTTCTTGACATCGTAAAGTACCCAGCTGCCCACTTCACATTCCCCCATTTGTCACGCTCTGCTGGCATCTTTTAGTCAGGCCGCTCCAGTTTTGGAGAGTCAGGACATTCCTCTTGCACTTCATAAGAGTAGCCATGATGTAGCGGCGATTAGGTATCTGAATGACATTACAGAGCACTATGAACTGTGGTAAGCGGAGTTAGGGGTGAAACTTGCATTCGAGAAAGTGATATTGTTCTGTGTTTGCTGATCAAATGTCATTTATGATTGTATGCTGTATTAGAAATTTTGCCCTCTGAGCTGAATAGTTACATGGAAGTATTAAAGAATGGAAACATTATTGCTGTTTTCATTTGGAGCCATTAAAATCCTGCCATAACCACTCTGCAGTATTTTATACATGTCTGTATCTGCCTCGTTTTTGAGTAGCGCAGTTGGCTAGCAGACAGGTAGAAGCCTGACCGAGCTTCTTTTAGGTCGGCCATGTTGATCGCAGGGTCACTTCTTCACCACTCGCTTCCCGTCATTCCTTTCATGAGCATGACTGCTTTGGTGTTTAATTTCATTATGACCAGTTACCCTCTTTGTTCCAGGTCTATGGGAAGACAATTGATGGGCAGCAAACCATCATTGCCTGCATTGAAGGTCACCAGTTTCAGCCCAAGAACTTCTGGTGAGATGCCCACAGCAATATGTATTGGGAATCTCATTATGTCCTATTTGTGGAACAATGGACCAGTAGCTCTTTGTGTGGCAAGGTAGTTTTTATTCATCACTGTTAGCCATGTAATCATGCAGCCCAGTGGCCTGTACTACGAAGCGGGGTTACTGGCTTATCGGGGTAACTCGTCAGGTTTAAGGTACCACAGTTTAAATGGACTTCATATTTTGCGCAGACTACCTTAAATCTGACCAGTTACCCCGATAAGCCAGTAGCCCCGCTTCGTAGTACAGGCCACAGGTGATACAAGAATAAACAGGTCAGGGGTGGGGCAATGGTGGTTTTAAAATTATTCACTTTTTGCGTTTGATTATCAAGTCTGATTCTTAGGTGCAAATTTTTTACCTTTTACTGCAGTTTTCATTATCTGTAGCTTTATTGCCTGTGACAATAGATGATTATCGAATATCTGTGTGTTACTGTGTTACCAGCTCCAATGTTAGAACCATCATGAATCAGAATGCATGCTTCTATATACTAATGGTGACCCAGCTACAGGTGTGAGTGTTTTCCTGTGTGACCCTTGGTGTCTTCCCTCCAGGAATGGACGCTGTAGATCAGAGTGGAAGTTCAGCATCAGCCAGTCCCAGTCTCAGGTGGTGGGAGTGCTGAAGATCCAGGTGAAGATCTCATCAGATATTCATGCAGTTTGTCTGTTTGCATGTTGCCATATATTCAAGTGATATGCAGTGTAATGGATTGGAGGTTTTATCAGTGTGTTTGTTCTACTGTGTACAATTTGGCTACATTTTTCATGTGCATGTATGCAACTCCTATCCAGTATTATGTACATAGATGTGAATGCCACAATGGTCCCTTGCTTAGAGGTGTTTGTAGCATTGTGGCACTAACCCATCCACATGTATCCTCCCCGCAGGTGCATTATTACGAGGATGGCAACGTCCAGCTGGTTAGCCATAAGGATGTGCAGGAGGCCCTGACAGTGTCTGTAAGTCTGCCCCTTTGGAATAGCCCAGTGCTGTGGCTCTAGGGGCCCCCGCTGGGTCTGTTCACCCTTCCTGCTTTCTGCCCTTTTCGAGCAGATTGCATCCATCGTGATTCTGGGGGACTTGCCTTTTGATTTTATTGCCCTGAGAACCAGTGTGTTGGAACAAGATGAACGACTAAATGAATCGTTTTAACAGTCTGGCTTGGTATAAGTTTGTTAACTGTGTAAAGGGAGTTGGGAGAATCCACTGCATGCAGTGTGTCTTCCCCCAGCCAGGGCCTCCGGAGCAGAGGTCACAGCTGGGGATCCATTATTTTGCAGTGTGTCACCCTCACTCTTCATATTGTTTGTTTTTGGGAACTTTAAACTCTTCTTTTATTCTGCTACTGCCCAGGATTCTTTCAGACTCATTTTTCCTCCTCTTGTAACATTAGAATGAAACCCAGACAGCAAAGGACTTTGTGAAGATCATTGAAAGTGCAGAAAATGAGTATCAGGTTGGTGACCAGAAAATTTCCCATAGAACCCGTTTCTTTCGTAATGTATAGTCAGAATAGTATGATCAGAATATTTTGTTACAGCCTGTTCTATATTTCACACAATGTTAAAACCATTGAGGCTACATTTTACATTTAGCCCAAACCTATTTCTTCCACGTTGTTACTGCTCCAGTGGTTACGATTGAGGTTTTGTATTTTAAATTGTACTCTTCTCCCAGACGGCGATCAGTGAAAACTACCAGACCATGTCGGACACCACGTTCAAAGCCCTACGCCGGCAGCTTCCTGTAACTCGTACCAAGATCGACTGGAACAAGATCCTCAGTTACAAGATTGGCAAGGAGATGCAGAGCGCCTAGACGTGCAGTCCGCTTACTGCGAACGCGTGCAAAGACGAAAAGAAACTAATTAATGGGGCAGAATACATGGTGTGCTCTCACAGAATGTGTCTAGCGCGTTCATGTTTCATTGGTTCAAAGGCGCCAAGGTTTGGGATTTATTTTTGTTTTGAAAAGGGGAACGATTTTGCCTTCCTCAGCCTACTGTAAAGTGGTTTGTTACTTTGATGGAATGAACAGTGACCTATTGGCAAATCTGTGATTTCTTCTTGCATATTGAACAAAGCCCTCTAGTGATACTGGTAATGCCCCTATAGTCCATGTTTTTGTGCCACCAGTTTAAGCCTGTGTTCCCTAGACTGTAGAACCTGTAATTTCTCCATAAGCAGCACTCTTAACAGCTCTAAGCATGTTGCACTAAAGTCTATACAAACTGTTTACCTTAACTTCACTGTCCACTCTCCCGCCACTAAAAGACTAACTTTAAAAAACCCCACTAAAAATGGAAAAATTCTTTCTTATAGTTACTGTCCCAATGAGTTTTCTATGTTTTGTTTATATGTGTTTATATGAACACATATGACTTTCATTTTTTTATGTCTTAAAGAACTGTACCCTTACAGACTGTATGCTGTGCTTTGGTCGATACCTCCTGTTCACAATCCGCATCTATGCCAACAGCCAATAGGTTGAGAGAAGGACAAGTGCTTCATCTAGGCACCTTCAGACCAGTGCACCTGATGACTGCGAGCTATGTCATGATGTTAGCCTGCTGACCCCCTCTGGCATACAGTAGACATTACATATAATGATTAGGAAAAGTCAGTCTCTGTTATGCCATTTTTGCCTCATGTCCTTAGTTTTTAATTGCTATTTTTTACAAAAATGAAAGAACAAACATGTATAATTCAAAAGGAATAAAGGATTTGCACCAAAATATGATTTAACAACTTTTTTTCCCAATATGTCAACTTTAGTTGTGTTCTGAAGATTAAGCACCTCACTTTTCTTATTCAAACAAAATTAATTGAGTGGGGATGAGTGCAACTGATTTCTTCCTGTTTCCTGTTTGTTTTGAGCTTTGTGTTTGCTTTGATGGAAATCACAGAGAAATCATTATTGTATTTTGATGGTATGTTATGTGGATTCAAATCTTCCATGGATTTTTTTTTATGGAACCTTTGGATGGGACTGTGTGCAGTATCAGTATGCAACATTGTAGAAGAAATCAGAATTTATATTTTCTCTGCTTGCTTGTTCACTCATTTATTAGTAATTAACTATTAAGGCTTGATATAATTAAAAGAGAAAGCTTCGGAGCTCTTGATTGCTTTGTGTATTTACACAATACCCATTCTGTCCATCCATTTAATAAAGAGATTCACTCTTTAAAATTGCTTTGAGCTAGAGCAAATCTGGCTTTAATGAAGATTTTTTTTTTTTTTAAATATTGCAACAATCAATTGCGATCTGTTAGTATGTTTGTCCTGGAACTAATATCTAAAAAATACACTGCTAGTTTTTTTTGACACTCATACTCTTGTTTGTATTCACAGTGGCTGGGGCAATGTCTATTTACAACCATGTCATTCTTAAATTATTACCAGCTATATGGTTTATGGGTGTCATTGTATTTCTTTGGATCTTTGGAGAAATGTAGTTATTGTTTGAAGGCCTCAGTTGTTTAGATTTTTGTTTTGACTGTCTGAAAAAAGCAGGAAGACCAAAATGTTTTCTCTGAAGGTTAGGTTGAAACTAAGCTAAGCACAAAAAAAAACTGCTTCATTAAATGCCAAGTCAATAATTTGGAGCCTTTAATTCCAGCTAAAAATGTTTCAGTGCACATCTGTTTCTATTATTATTCATTCAGCACATGGGTACAGATGATATTTTATTCTATGTTCACAGATGAGTGAATCTCAAAGAACTGAAGAAATGCACCCATTTCATTATTAGTACTGAACACAATCTAATCAAAGAAAAGGAATGAGTCCTACCTTCCAAGGATATATCTCATTGTACCAAATACATACAATGACCCCTAATCCTCCGTCACCTTCTGAAACTATGGTTGCTTGCTTTTACATAATATGGTCAAAATGCTGATTTCTTCATCTGGGTGTGTCTCTAGTGGCTGCCTTCCACAGGTATGTCATGACTAATTCAAGCTGCTATTCTCAAGTTATCCAACTTGGAGCATGCTGGCAAAAGATACTTTTATCTTAATGTACATGAGGAAATGACCTTTTTAATATGATACCTACTAAATACTCCATGTTAATGTAGCCATCACCTCTGTGAAAATATTGCTCTTCCTGATGTGTACTATACCAGCCTACAGTAGAAAAAGGAAGTAAACCCAAGCGTTTAATCTGTTACTTTCTCTGCTTTTGCCCGCCTCCAAATGTGTCCAAGCATGCCAGACAGGTTTCGTTTCAATAGGTTCTATCTATGATAATCTTCAAGAGAGTATATGACTAACCAATGCAATTGTTTATTTGTCCAGATATGATTCATGAGATGATCATGGTGGTTACTGAGCTACCAAAACAAAAAAATAAATAAATTCAAACACACCTTGCTGTAGCTAAAAAAAAGAGAAAAACTCCTCCAAGGCTTTAGCAGATCAATTGCTAATCTACGGTTTTCAAAAAATATAGTGGATTGTGAAAGAGGACATAGGAAGGATTTCATTAAGAATGTCTTTTTACAATATACACTCACTGGCTGTTTTATTAGGTACACCTTGATGGTACTAGGTTGGACCCCCTTGGGTGCTTGAAACACTCCATAAAGACTTTAATCCATGCTGACATGGTAGCATTACACAGTTGTTGTGGATTTGTCGGCTGCACCTCCATGATGCAAATGTCCTGTACCACCACGTCCCATAGGTGCTCTATTGGATTGAGATCGGGTGACTGTGGAGGTTATTTGTACAGTGAACATATTGTCATGTTCCCGACACTAGTCTGAGATGATATGAGTTTTGTGACGTGGCACGTTAATGTGCTGGAAGTAGCCATTAGAAGCTAGGTACACTGCGTTCATAAAGCGATGGACATGGTCAACATTAATAATCATGTAGGCTGTGGCATTTAAATGATGCTTAATTGGTACTAAGGGGCCCAAATTGTCCAAAGAAAACATCCCCCACACCATTACACCAACATCAGCAGCCTGAATTGTTGACAGAAAAAAGGGTGGATCCATTCTTTCATGTTGAGTGAGGCCAAAATTCTGAGCTTGCCATCTGAATGTTACAGTAGAAATCGAGACTCATTTCACCAGGCAACATTTTTCTAATCTTCCACTTTTGGTGAGCCCATGCCCACAGTAGCCTGAGTTTCCTATGCTTATTTGACAGGAGTTGTGCCCAGTGTGGTCTTCTGCTGCTGTAGCTCATCTGCTTCAGGATTCAACATGTGCATTCAGAGATGCTCTTCTGCATACCTTAATTGTAATGAGTGATTATTTGAGCTATTGTTGCTTTTCCATCCACTTGAACCAGTCTGGCCATTCTTCTTACCATCAACGTTCTACCAGGGCATTTTTCAACAGGGCAAATTCTTGATATCAGAAATTCAGTTGTAATTAATTATAATGCCAATTCTTGATATTGCAATTTTAGCTAGTGAAATTCAAAACATTTTTTCTTATTCGTTTTCTGTCGAAGTTGGAATTGGAACTAATTTAAACAACAATTTCTGATATTTGGAATTCAATTGTAACTAGTTAATATACCAGTTTATGATAGGAATTCAGTTGTAACTAGCTATAATTAAAACTGAATTTTAATTATTTCCTGAAAGCACTTGTTCTATTCGGGGGGCAACAGGTGCACAACTGGGATGGGGTGCCAACCCATCACAGGGCACACTCATACACATCCCCCACAGGGCAATTTGCTAATTAACCAGAGTAGGGTTTTGAACTTGTGGGGAGAAACCCCACAATGACACAGAGAGAACATGCGAACACCGCACATGGCATAGACTTGATGACTGGCCTCAGAGGTATGAGGCAACAGTGCTAAACACTGCACCACCACGCCACCCTGAATTATAACTAGTTACAAATGAATTCCTCATATCAGAAACTGGATGTTCCGCTAGTTAACATTTTATTTTGGATATCAACAATTGGCATTTTGACTAGTTCAAATTCCAACTCACATTGTAATAAATAAGAAAAGCATGTTGAATCTCACTAGCTAAAATAGAATTTCTTATATGAAGAACTGGCATTTTAACTAATTAAAACTGATTTTCCAATATCAATAATCTGAATTTTATCTAGTTAAAGTCAAATTTCTGATATCAGAAACATACATTATAACTAGTTACAACTGAATTTCTAATATCAAGAATTTGCTCTATACCTAATTAGAACTGAATTCATGATAGCCTCTAGAAATGAATTAAAGCTAAAATAGCTTGCCATCTACTGTATCTGCATGACCTTATACATTGTGCTGCTGACATATGATCGGATGATACAGTCAGGTCCATAAATATTGGGACATTGAATGTTCCAAACAGTTGATCTGGCCACACCTAATGTTTTCGCTATGTCTCTGATGGGTTTGTTTTTATTTTTCAGCCTAATGATGGCTTGCTTCACTGATAATGACAGCTCTTTGGATCTCGTATTGAGAGTTGACAGCAACAGATTCCAAATGCAAATATAACACTTGAAATGAACTCTAGACCTTTTATCTGCTCCTTGTAAACAAGATAATAAGGGAGTAACACACAGCTGGCCATGGAACAGCTGAGCAGCCAATTGTCCCATTACTTTTGGTCCCTTAATCTCCCTTAATCTATTCCGACAAATCACACTCATAAGCACACAATTCACTGAAACTTCATTTCACTCTCCAAACTAGTCAAAATAAAATAAATAAATAAAATAAATAAATAATAATAATAATAATAATAAATAATAATTAAAAATTAATAAATAATTTAAAAATAATAATAATAAATAATAATGATTTTTAAAAACCACCCCTCTCCCAACATATGCAAATAATTAACAACGTCACTAGTCGTGACGTCACCTGGCTCCACCTTTTGACCTTTAGGTCATAAATCTTTTTGAAAGAAGCGGCATTATCCATCTATCTAATATATATACATATATGTAGAAATACATAATATTCAAGGGGTGTACTTACGTTTTCATGGTACTGTACATAATTTATTAATCACAAATAAAATTGCAAGTTTACAGTAGCACAGTACACACACACACCACACACACATTTTGGCATACCTAGCTAAAGCATACTAGTTATTCTGCACTGAGTACTCAGTTCGGTGTTTTGCGCGATGAATGAACATGCTTCATTCAGATAGTAGGTCAACCCCCCTGTTATGGAGTGACTCATTGTAAAGTCTAAAGGCCGAGAGCAGGAACACCCTTTTATAGGGGCCCTTGGAGCAGCACAGCTGTCTGTCTGTTACTGAAAGTGCTGCAGTGTTTTCACCACCAATGAGGTAATTGTGCCAGTGATACACAGGAAGGACTTAGAACTTCTGTGAACAATAAAAACATGATCAGTGAGTTGCTACATAATAAAGGCCACATTACGAGTGCTACACTCTCTAAGGCATGGTCCCCATAGCACTGCTATGCTACATCTTATAATATCTAGGAAAGATGGGTCCAATATGACAGGATTCCATCAGAAAATTTCCTGGCCGCCTTTCCATTTTAGTGTCTACAATAAATTCAGTGTAATCCAATGTGCCTTATCTTCCTCATTGCACTAATATGACGTAGGTCTAGGGCATTAAGTATTATCAGGTACACTCACCACTCATGCTGTAACCTGTCCCAATGGCTGTGCTCAGGCAGGCCCCTGCGGAACCTTATGGCCGATACTGATAAGCTGAGGAGAAGCTTCTGTCCCCAGCCCATTAGGATCAGTAACGACGCCAAGTAAAACAAACTAGAGCCGCAACATGCACTTTAAATATTTTCGTAAAACTTTTACTTTTTATATATTTCAGTATTTTTAGTACTTTGTTTAGTATTTTGTTAACTTATTTTTTATTTTGTTACCCTTCTAACTTTTTGTTCTGTGTCTGTTGTGTAGTCTGCAGTAGCAGTAATTTCATTTCACTGCTGGTGTACCAGTGCATTTATTTTGTCAGTACTGGCAGTACTGTACTCAGATAACCACTAATCGACAAAAGCCAGAGGAACTTACCACAAATGTGTTTCTGTCCATTTATAGAACAAATGCTCCTTTACAGCCAGGGGTGTTGCAGAAACGTATTTAGTGAAATACCCATTACAGTGTTTCTCACAAACCAAAGTCAGCACATCACATGGTACTTTGTTCTCAAGGACTCTGTTCATCTTATGTTTTGCTAAAAGCTGACACATCTGTCATAAAATGGTTTATTAGTTCCATCTTCTTTTCCCCATCTCATGTTACAATGGAATTTATAGTAGTGCCAGGTAAAATGGGACATGAAGGTATAATTTAGGTACAGCATTAACATTCTGAGTTAGAAGCTACTTTGAGATGATAGGATTCTGGGAGGCAGACAAAGGAATATGTGTGAGGTAACCTTAAAATGGAACCAGAGTTTCTAGATGATGATCAGAAACATAAATCAGAATAAAATGTAGAGAAAGATATGAAGCATCTTCTGTGCGTTTGTGTACATGAGCCTTTGTACACAGTCTGTATACAGTATATGTCACATCTTCAGAATTTGGGATTCAAATCCCACCTCTGCTCTGTGTGTGTAAAGTCTGCGTCTTCTCTTTGAGTCATTCAGGATGCCTCCTGCAGCCCAGAGACATTCAGCCAGGCAGACTTCATCCATCTTCTAACCGGTTATCCTAGTCAGGCTTGCCGGGGGCCTGGAGTCTATCCCAGCATATTGCACAAGGCTGGTTTACGCCCTGGATGGGATACTAGTCCATTACAGGGCACATTCACACATTATGGGAAATTTAGAAACACTGATTAGGATAATGACAGGCAGGTGCAAACTGGCCATTGGGAAGTTTGGGCATTTTCGCAGTGGGCCCGTCTGGTGAGGACGGGTCTCTCTTCTGCAACCTCAGCATTGTATAATTTATTCATGAGGGAGGCTCAACTCGTTGGTCGATCTCGGCATGTTTCTAGATCAATCACAAGAGATGATACTACTGTATTTCACTGATGACCAACCGTTTGATCATGATCAGCAAAATATACCAAGGGGACCCAGCAGAAATAAGCTAAGGAATATGACTCTACACACACACACACACACATACACTTGTATTCATATTATTGTGGGGACTCTCCATTCATTTCTATAGGAAAAACCCTAATCCCAACAATGACACCCTTAACCACTACCCAGCCCTAACCTTTACCATAAATGAGACTTTTGGCATTTTTAGTTTTTTTTTTTTTATTGCAGTCACAGGTTTTTTTTTTTTTTTATATAAATCTGAGTTTCCCCTTATGTGTGGACCAAAGAAAGGCCCCCCACAACATCAAAATAACAGGTCCTCACAAGGTAATACATAGATAACCGCCCCCCCTACACACACACACACAGATTAGGAAACTATATCCTTGTAGGGAATTTCCATTGAATTCCTCTTGCATAACCTTAACCATAAGTAACCAAACAAGATGCAAGACTTTTTGATTGCATTTACAGATTTTTGTAAAATTGGTCAAAAGGACAAAATAACAGGTGCCCACAATGTACTATATGCAAAATTAAACACACAAAGCATACATGGGATTTGAACCCACATCACTAAGAGGCATGAATCAGGGGGGAGTCCCAATGAGCCACCATGAAACTACAACCTACTATCACTTACACATTGAAAAGTTAGCTTTGGACTAGCAACAGCTGGAGTATAGAATAGAATAGAATAGTTCTCACCTACAGAGATGGTTTGATGATGGTGATGATGACGATAATAAACAACATAGCTAGATCTTGCTAAATAGTCGTCTCTTAATTCACTTAACTACATGTTTTAGGATTGCGGAGGGGGTTATATTGTAATGAACACAGGGACAGCACTGGACAGGGGAAATACAGATGGGTTGACAAATGCAGCTGACAAAAACAATTGATTATTCATCACACGTTAATCTGAACGTACTGAACGGACGAATAGATTTTATCTTCAAAATACACTTTAAAATCTCATCGCTTGTCTTACCCTTCTAGTCTAAGATGATTTCTATGCGCCGTTCTGCCCCCCTCGGCTGCGTCTCGTGGACGTAAACGGTATTAATCCGCCAGCTTCCCGTCCAGCCTCTCAGCTCATCTCCGCCCAGCTGATTCATTCTTCTTCTTTTTCTCATCACGAGAAAGTTTCTCTCCTTTTAGTCGTCCTTTGTAGAGCTGAACACACAAGCATGCCTAATCTAAAATCGTGTTTCGATAGTGGCCTGAAATTTATAGACTTCCTGGGAGAGGGGACGTCAGAAACCGACAAAGATAAACTTAAAGAGGTCTACGACAAAAAATTCAGATACAGGTAATGCAGCCTCGCGACGTGTCTAGTCGGTGTTTGGCCGTGAGGCTGCGCACCTGTTCCGATGGTCGCCGGACCGCCAACCATATGCTATTTTTATCTGCATATGTGTGTTTTCTGTATTATATCTTTCGCATTATCATCTGCGTAACTAACTTCCTCGTTGTCTAGACTTTGCATTAAACGGAACTGAATCTTTTACACAGTGAAACCAGTGTGCACACATACACGCACCATCCACGCACCGACCCACCCACCCTAAAAACGCTTATCCTGATGTGGGTCTCTAAACACACATGCATTTTTCATTTTCTTCTTTTCCTCATAGAAATGGAATAAAAGAGCCGTCGTTTTCAAATGTTATATTTGCATTGACAACTTTCGGCAGAGCCTATAGGAAGGGGAAGAAAATATATCTGAATACAAAGGTAAGGATATGATTTGATACCCTAGGGTTGTGCTTTCTATACATACCTGGGACACACACTCAATCGGGATTAAGTTGTTGTCCTTTATAACACTCCTTTGGCAAACAGGAATCTGCAGAGTTTTACTTTCTCTTCTGTAAACATGCAAGTCTTAAACGTACAGCATTCATTATTATTAAGCGCTGATCAAGTCGCTATCGATTGCCGGCGACATATATACAGTCCCCCACGATATTCCGTCTTCCTTCAAATAATTCTTTGTGTGTCGTATTAGAATCTTGGATGTTGTAAACCGTGACATACTTTCGCACCGAGCAGCATTCAAAAGCAGCAGTCTTTGACAGTTTTGTAAATTGACTTGACACTACGATCGTGGTTTTCTATAGATGTGAGCAACTACACAGGAAACACGGATGATGGGGGTTTTTGTAATTTTTCTATTATGTCATATAATATGCTTTTTCATCATCTGGTAGGTTTTGGCAGACCTGTAGTTTTAGAACTGTTTGGTTAGTTAAGACAAATATTTGATTTTTATAGCTCATTGAAAATGACGGTTTCGTTTTCTGCTGCTTTTTTTTCATGTGGCAGGCAAGAAATGAAACGGAAAGACCACAGCTGTGTTCTTTTTTTTGTAGTTTTCTTTAATGGAAAGTATACCATTATTAGAAGGAAACCCCAAAGATGTCAGTCTTTTGGAGGTACTGCCAGGGTCTCACTGCTGCACCAGTCCTGTGCATTAGGATTCACTGTTGGTTATGCACAATACTTGTTCTTCATAAAATATCTGTGGTGGTTGGGGTTTCAGTGGTTTTTTTTTCAATTGCAATTGGTACAAAATAGCAGCAACAGGTGGTGTCTTATACTACTTTGCGGACGAACTAACAATGGAACTTTTATAGTCATTTTATTTTTCCTGCACACTCACAAGGGTGACTTTTTAAATCATATTTTGGGTGATTTTGTTTTACCTTTCAGTCATATTATGGTTTTAATGTAAAATGTTAGAAGGTTCATTAATGGTAAAAATACTGGATTATAATATCCAGGTGTTTGCTTTAAATCAGGGTTGGGGAACCTGATCCGCGAAGGGCCGGTGGGGGTGCAGGTTTTCGGGGTGGTCTCTCAGTCAGTCAATAACAGTGATCATCCCAAAAACCAGCACCCATAGCAGCCCTCCATGGAAATGATTCCGCACCTGATTTAAACACAAAAAGAGGTCCTGTACAAAAATATAACTAAGCCACTCTCAGTACTGTTCACTGTTGTTTTTGAGGTGGTTGGAAGCTCTTTGGATCTTCTGCTCATCTTCTTCCTTATGGTCCTAGGTGCATATCTGCAGTGGTGACCAATGGTCGAAACCTCTTCAGAAGAACAAGTCCGCTGCTCAGCCTGTACCAAATGGGGGATCTTCTGATTCTTTTCCAGGCATGGCTTCCCCAGCCAGTGCTGTGCCCTCTGCTGGCACTACCACTAGCACCTCTAGTGCCTCAATGTCTGCATTGGAGCCAAGTTCAAAGGCTGTGAAGAAGCGGGTGAAGGCAGTGATCAGAGGCTTGCGGGACAACAGGTAAGACTTACTCTTTTTTGTTAATTGTTCATAGGAGTGAATGCCATGTGACTCACTCTCTGTTTGTCTGTCTGTAACAGGAAGTACTTCATCGCAAACAAGGAGGGAATTGTGATCACCTCAGACCATGAAATTAACAACGGCAAGATCAAGATCACCACCCAATCCATCCAAATGACATATGTGGTGAAGTTCTTCATTCAAAGCAACGCCACCGATCCTGTGCACTTTACCTTGTACACGTTCCTGTGCAGGATGTGCTGCTTTTCACTGGAGGACGAGAAGAAGGTGACACCGGCATCTCCTTATCTCCTCAACCAAGGTAAGGAGCCGGCTACGAATCAGAAGGCTCCTTGGCTGAATTGTTGGTTTTGAGTTATTTTTGTTTCATTTCCATTTACTTCCATCCCCTTTTACACTGTGACAGTTATGCACTATTCTGTCCTCTTCCCTTTCATTTTGACTCTTTCCTTCTCCCACTTTGGGGACATTGAAGTTTGGATACTGCTCGCTCAATCATCCACTCTCCAGCTGTTTCCTTGTCACAAAGTTTGTTGACAAAATACTTTTTATCCTAAAATGCTTAAAAATGCAACCGATAACAAAATAGGGCATAAGAAGAACCATGAATTCCACAGTTCCCCCTTTATTCCTCATCATCCAGTGGTTAGAATCACAATTAACAAGGGCTTTTTGCCCACGGTTTGGTATGTATCACGGTTTTGGGGCCACAGTATATTATCTAACCGTTCGGCACACCATCTGCTGTTGTATAATTAAGTTCTAGCTCTCGAAAATAAGACAGCCCCTGGTTATTAGGGAAAAAAATACCGTCTTGTATTCGCGGCAGTACATATAGGAAAATGACAGGCATACCATAATACCATGGCTCACGTGTGCGCATCGAACCCCGGGGGCCATACGGTGCCGAATGGTTCAATAGTATAACATATACCGTTACACAGTAAAGTAAACATGTTGCAACCAAACTAAATATATGTTTATTTGGTAAAATACAGCCTTCATTGTTTGATTAAAGGGTGATGTGTTTTTTTTTTCTTCAGACACATAAGGATACAGAAACCTTACCTTTATAGCCCTACCATTAACCCTTAATAATATAATTAATAATTAATAACAAGCAGAAAGGTGCAAAGAAAATGCAATAATAGCTTATGAGTACTTATATCTACTGCCTTGTGATCCACAGGCCTTTCACATGCTGTAGCATGTCACCTCACCATGTAAAGTAAAGTAGAGTATTTGTGTCTCCAGCGGGCATCCAGCCTTTGATTATGGAACATATTGATGACTGGTAGGCAGATACAGGCCCGGCAAGCGGTGCAGACTAAGGCACATTATTCCCGAAGTAACACCATCTGACTCCACTTCAGCCGTTTCATCTCGTTCGTGTCATCAGTCCTTTAAGATTCCACAAAGGTTGAGCAAGTTCCATTCTATGAAACTTAACTAGGTAGACATTGTACAGTTTTATTTAACTATCATTTGAATTTGCTTCTATACTTATTATATGCATGTTGCATATGCTTTTCTGCTGCTAAATGACACTTCGCTGCTCTGTGTGCAGTCACAATAAAGGTCATCTTCCTGACTTAACTGTCTTTCTCCTCACAGGTGACCGCTATGAAGTTGAGGTTCACTTTAGACCCCCTTCCTTTGGTTCCTTCCCAGCCACCCTTGCCTTCGAGTTCAGGCAGTGTCCTCGTGCGAACACCAAGCCCATATATGTGGTGCGTGACATAGAGGCCATGGTCCGGTCTCCCCTGGGGCAAATGCTAGGGCCAGAAGCTCCCTACAAACCCTATCAGGCCCCTGTACCCCGGGCAGTGCACACAATAGTGGAGGAAGGAGAGCCTCCTGAAAGGTGTGGGAACACGATATTCACTGCATCCAAGTCACCTCGGACTTAACTGAAAATTCACATTTGGTAGCGCTGTATGCCATAATGAGGATATCTATGACCAAACTGTAGTATCAGAAAATTTGTTAACAAATATGTAAAGACCATAAATGTTAACCTGTTATTTTGAGATAGGATGATTTTGTAGTATGAAAATGATGTCCTCAATTTGGTATTTGAAAGTAGAAGGAACTTGTTTTATTGAAAATTCAATAACATTATATTATAATATTTTAGTTGTGCTGCACAGCAAATGAAGGTGGCAGTGAAACTTGGTCCTTACAAATACCCAGCATACCTGAAGGAACTGGCCACAGGAAGGTTGGATGACACCAAGATTTTATCACCAACTGCGAAACAAAATCTTCATTTGGTCAAGTATGTGTCAAGTGTGATTTCTAACATAGCTATCTGAGCAGATAAAGGAAGGCATATTACTAATGAAGGAACTAAATCGCCTGTCATCTTGCAGTTGGGCTACAGTGAATCTTTTAAAGAGCTTTGTATAAAGTTATGTCTCGAGTAGCATACCAAACACATGTCTTTGTGGTGTCTTGGTAGCTTGCTTGTTGTTGTATACAAAAGCTAATTTTGTACATAGGGCCGGCCTTTAAGATGGAGAAGCATGGTTAAGACAAGAAAAAATGAAAATTAATCAATTATGGTATGGCTATTGTGAGAGAACTTTTTCCCTACTTCAGTAAATTACAGTTGAGAGGGAAAAGTCTGCAAACCCTTTGGTGTTATTATGAATGAATGGCTTCTGAAGGTGATCTGATCTTCCTCTAAGGCATAACAATTATTGACACATATTCATTGAACAAATGGTTTAATCAAAGCTATTGACGGTCAAGCATGTGAACTTCTAAGGTAATGATCCCTTGAATTGAGGGTGTTCTTGAATGGAGTCAATTCAAGTGTGACTTTGCACTGTCTTTTTTAAAATGTACATTTATATGCCACACAAGTTTTGTTTTCCCTGCCGTTTACAGCAAAATTTCAAGTGCACTGTGGTCCAATGAAGGCTTTTGTCAAAACTCTGAAAAAGCTGCATCATGCAACATGACAATGATCCAAAACACAGGAGTAAATCGACAACAAAGTGGCAGAAGAAATTCTTTATTTCAGAATGTACAATGTTCAGTGTTCAGGTTATTCATTTTTATGTTAGATCAGATTACATTTTGGGAGCTGTCCATGCAGAAATCCTGATTACAAAAAGTTCATGGATTTTTTTTAATAAGTAGTAAACTATAAGTAATAAACAAATATTCACCTGCACATGCTGTATATGGCTCTGCACTTCTAATTGCTGCCAAGGTTACTTGTTAGTCACATGACACAAGCAGCTTTACTGTTCTTAACGATACGCTTTTCTTGATAACTAGTACAGAAATTCATTCACATGCTGCTTCCTCATATGGTTGTAGTGGAGTTTCTGAGAACAAAATTTTAGGAAATACATCAGAGATTTGCAGGGATCTAAGTGAGACATGCTTATATATAATTGCAACACCATTTTTGTAGTACTTCCTGCACACCAACAATTATCCTGCTGTGTTCACCGGGAGTTTTAACTTCCCTTTAGCAGAAAGTCTTAAGTTCCCTTTATGCATTATTAGTGGTTGGTGTTGGAGCTTAATGTATGCTGTCACACATTTTCTGCAATTGATGGCTTTTTTTTCCAGTAACCAGTGGGAATATGTGGAGAGTGATGGGTTTTCTGGGATTCTTCCAGGGCGCTTCTTGAGAGCCCACTGACCATGGAGAACTACACTAGGCACTTCCAACTCCTGCTTCACTTGGAGGAGCTCCAGATGGAAGTCAACATCAAGAAATACAACTTGCAGAACCAGCCCATGACCCAGGACAGAACAAACAAGCGACTCCTTGTTCTGCAGGTGAGTGCTGGACCACTGTTGAAGATTCTGGTGAGGTAATAATAGTTTTCTGCTCTGAATGACGTGAACTTTGCTGTAGGTCAAAGGGGTTGCAGAGAACAGACCATCAGTTTTAAGGGGAGACCACCTTCTGGTGTCCAAGGCTGGGGACAAGAGCGAGCCCATCACTTTATACAAGGGCTATGTGCACAAAGTGGAGATGGAGCAAGTCAAGCTTGGCTTCTCGAAGAAGTAAGATGGCCCTCATTGTCCATTGTAAAACCAAAGCTGCCACTTTACAGGGTTCTAGCTGAGTGGTTTTTAAACCTGTCCTCAGTGACCCCCAGACAGTACTGCAGGGGTCTGCAACTCCGGTCCTGGAGTGCTACTGTCCAGTAGGTTTTCTATCCTACCTGGCTTCTGATGAGCCACACCAGTGGCCTGTACTACGAAGTGGGGTTACTGGCTTATCGGGGTAACTTGTCGGATTTAAGGTACCACAGTTCAAATGAACTTCATATTCGTTCACTTACATTTTGCCCAGACTACCTTAAATCCAACAAGTTACCCCGATAAGCCAGTAACCCCGCTTCGTAGTACAGGCCACAGTTCTCAGATAAATACCAGGAACATCAGAAGCCAGAACAGAAAAGCTACTGGATAGTAGCACTCCGGGACTGGAAAAAAATGAATATGCTAAGAGTATAAAAACTTAACAAAGTTTACAGACGTCTAAAGTTAAAATAAGACGGTAAGAAAGAACAGCCACAGTCAGGGCAGACTGCTGCTACTGAAGTGATCTTGTGTGCCGATTGCTGTGGGGAACACACAATGTGCAATGAAGTGTTCTGCCACTTGGGGGTGCTGTGGTCATCCATGTTCTTTTTTTCTTAAGGCTGTGGCAAGGATTCAAAGGCAACATCAAGTTTGATGTGGAGTTCACCCTCAACCGCTTTCCCCTGCGCCAGCAGCACAGGGCGGTGAACCTGGCTGGCCAGCACAAACTGGGTTTGGTGCTCTTCCCCAGTGGGCTTGGAAACATGGAGAATCAGGAAGAGGCAAACCTACCCAAGCTCAGGTAACCAGAAAAAATATTATTATTGTTGTTGTTATTATCATTGTAGTAGTAGTAGTAATAAACAACAACAAAACAATAATAACAATAACAATAAATTTTTTCATTTCTCTCCTGTCTACATCAACATTTAAAAAAACACTGTTCGATGCTTGTCAGTTGCAAAAATATGTAACGCTTTTTTCCATGCCTTTCTTTGGAGGTTAAGTCAATTATTACATTTAAGAATAACATGTAATTTTACACTGAAAAGGAATTTGTCTTGCTATGATACGTATAATGATGTACAACAAACAACAGAGTACAGATAAGAGATCAGTGAAATATGTCTCGGACATCAACTTACAGAAACATTAAATAGTAATCAAGTTGAGAAATACTTGTGCAGTACTGGATAGCTGCAGTAGTAATTATGTGCATTTGTATTGGTGGCCGTTAGTTGTTACTGTACTGTTAGTTGTACAGGAGGCTCACTGCTTGGGAAAATTGTTGTTTTTGTGCCCTGAACCGAATGGACCCAATTGTCAGCAATGATGTAAAGATGGACTCACTGATGGTCCTGCAAAAGTGTACTGCTGCTGTACTGCTGCTGGAAGTACATCCTCTGGAATCGTGATGATATGGACCATATTGTTCTCCTGCTTCTCCCATCCACCTTCCACAATGACTTACCCTGTACAGGGCTGAGTGAGGAAGCACAAGCCTGAAGGCTGGGTACCTACTGTACAGGATGTTAATCCATTGCCGGGCACTTTAGCTGCAGCAGTTGACCTAGGATTTGCGTTTTTTCTGACTGTGGGAGGGAAACCCTTGCAGAGACAGGCAGAGCTTTGGGGGTGTAAGATAGTATCGATACCCTTGACTATTGCAATATTATGCTTTGGAACACTGTATTGATTCTCAAAAACAGTATCGATTTTTAATCAATTGTTTACATGCACAGATTTGTGGCAGACAGTGGTTCATTTTGTGTTGTCTTTAAACCTCCTACTACTAGACAGCAGTGTTGTAATTATCTTCAGCCATTTGACTTCTCCACTCCAATGTAACAATGTAAACTGAGACAGGAAGTAGCGCAAGGGTGTGCTGCTAACATTAGCGTTAGCGAACCTAGCTGACTAGTAACGTTACCACCGATGGCTGAATCAGTAGACTGGCTCCTGCGGCTCATTTTGGCTTCCACAATAAAGAAGGCACTAAGATCGAAAAGAGCTATGTCCCACCGTGCTGTTACGTTATTCTCTGTTAACAGGGATGCGTCTCGACAGGTACCTGGCAGAGTCTTCTGAAGGACGCTCTAGTCAGAATTGTGTGATTTTGCCCCTTGTGCCCAAGCCCATAGCACCAAGCTCTTACTGCGCTGACCCCCGGTGTCTCAGCCAAAACAACCTGCTCCATGTGTCTTCTGACGCTCGTGCTTATATAAAGATCTTCTCTATCGCAGATGTGTGAGGGGGGAAAAATGAATATAAACACCTTAATGTTTGCATAAATCATTGTCAGCAAAGTGTTGCCTGACTTGTCTGAAATGTACTGTGTCTCAGCTTAAAGCATTAGCTCTCAGCATGAACATTACGCTTTACACTGATTTGAATGATAGTTCTTTTGAAATGTATGTGTCTGTTTTATTTACTGTAATGGAGAACACACTATACATTATGACTTATTTAAATTACAACTAATTTATAAACTGGCATAACCCATGTTGGAGCTCTGATTAATTAATGCATTAAGCTCAGACTAGCATAGTTAGTGTCTTAGTAGTGGTGGGATTTCTGCAGAATATTCTTAACTCCATGTTGAAGGATGGCACTGGAGCCTGTGACTGACAGATTTGGCTTCTTCTCCTTAGCCTTTATGATAAGGACCTCGCGAAAAACAGAGAGCAGTACGCAGCGGTCCAGTGCATCGTATCTGGAGCGTCTAGGCCAGCTCCCTATGTGGTGTTCGGACCCCCTGGGACTGGAAAAACTGTCACCATAGTGGAAGCCATCAAACAGGTATTTTGAAATGTCATTCTGTGAAGTCCTTGCAAAGTTTTTCAAACTGAGCTTCATCTGAATAGTAGGAGGTCAGAATAAGGTCATGTAGTCCTACCTCAGTTTGTAAGCTTTGAAGTTTGGTTTCGTTATATTAATTTATCATCAGTATGGAGGGTTATGCCTGTCATTGCTTGCCTGATTAATGGATGATATGCAGGTCCCATGGAAATGTTAAAGCTTTTCACAGAATTAGACTAAGATATATGAAATTTGTTTTTGAGACAGTAGGATATGTATTAGGACTTTTTTGATAAAAAGCTTTTCCGTCTTAGTCTGTGGGTCATATGCCTCATTTGGATGGAAGCTTCATACAAATCACTGAGTGTTTCATCCCCATATACACTGTGCTTATCCTTCCTATAGCACCAGGGGTTCAAGGGAATTTGTGCAGTTCAAACAGAAATATTTACGGGTCAGAGGATGAAAGAGCCTAGTGTCAGCCTGGGCTTGGCATGAATTCTGCTCTGAAGCTGTCCTTCTGTACCAGGTGTGGAAGCTGAACCCTCAGGCCTGTGTCCTGGCCTGTGCCCCCTCCAACAGTGCCTCGGACCACCTGTGTGAGTGTGTGCAGAAGCACATTGACTCCAAAAGCATGTTCCGGCTCTACGCCCCAAGCCGGGACCCTCAGTCTGTGCAGACGGCACTGCTGGTAAGGGATTGGCGAGTGGTGGTGTCTGAAACCAACCACGACTGCGTGCGGGTTCTCAGTCACATCCCAAACCAACCACGACTGCGTGCGGGTTCTCAGTCACATCCCAAACCAACCACGACTGCGTGCGGGTTCGCGGTCACATCCCAAACCAACCACGACTGCGTGCGGGTTCTCGGTCACATCCCAAACCAACCACGACTGCGTGCGGGTTCTCGGTCACATCCCAAACCAACCACGACTGCGTGCGGGTTCTCGGTCACGTACTAAACCAATGAACCTGTGCAGAATCTGCAGCAGCCTGCTCTTTGAAATTGCTCCATGCCCATTTCTTTCACAAGGATTGCAGTAACTATGATGCGGGGCTGGACTGTTTCGTGCTCCCCTCGACGGAGACCCTAATGGAATACAAGGTCATCGTCTCCACAGTGGTGACTGCTGGGAGGTAGGGGCTGATTTGGTGCTGCAGGTTTTAAGGTCAAAGCCTGCTCAGCCGTGTCATATGTACTAAAGTGCTCGAAAAAGAAACAGGGAATTAACTCTCGCTCGCAAAGAGCTGGCAGCGATACCATAAGTTAAACAGGCGCTATGTTAATAACTGATGGGATTATGGTATTGGACAGTATGCTGGTTAGTCCTGTAAGTGAAAGTGTGGCCAGTCCCAGGAGAGGCCTGTGAGCAAGAGCACTTCAGCAAGGTCCTTCAGCTAAATTTGGAACCCTCCAGCTGAATAACTGGGGAAAAATTATTAAAGGAAGCCACATGTTTTGTTAAGCCTGCCGTGCAACAGAATTAATGCATCTTTTGGCCGTTGAGCTTTAGAACATAATTATGCCAAATTGTTTTTCCTGGAGATTGTTGAGTAAGAGTTAAAGTCCCTGGTAGCTTGTAGCTGGGAAAGCTGAGAGCTTGACATTGTGATGTGAGTGATGACATTGTGATGTGAGTGATGACATTGTCTTCGCCCCTCCTGGGCAGGCTGGTGTCTGGCGGGATCCCCACTGGCCACTTCACACACATATTTGTGGACGAAGCAGGACATGCCATGGAACCGGAGTGCCTTATTGCCATTGCAGGTAAATGCTGAGAGGAGGGTTCTTGGTGTCTTTTTGATGAAAAGAAGTGAAGATTCTGCCAGGAGAATAAATGTCACATGACCAGGTAAAAACAGGCCACTGTGTCCCAATAGAGTTGTTTTTTTTTTTTTTTTTTTTGGCCGAGGTCAGATATTGTTGATGAAACTTTATGCAGCAGTACTGCGTGTCTTTCTTTACAGAATGAAAGCCAAAGTGTATTAGGACAGCAGGTATAGTAGCGGCTAAAGAACTGAGCTGTAGGGTTTCCGGGTACAGATCCAAATTCCTGGTGTGATTGTGCTTTTATATGGTTGAACAGAGCATTTAGCTCAGTTTTTATTGGCTTCACGGACATAGTGGACAGTTTAGCAAAATAAGGGAAAGCTGTAAGTATTAAAGTATCCGGGAAAATTAGTAACATCAATCTGAGTAGGACTGGTTGATCCTTTTCTCATTTCCCCAGGTCTGCTTCAGCCTGGCACTGGGCAGCTGGTGTTGGCGGGAGACCCCAAACAGCTGGGCCCCGTCCTGCAGTCTCCTTTGGCCATGCAGCACGGGCTGGGTGAGGGCTTACCGCGCATTTACCACCTTCTCCACTCATTGTGCTGGGTTGTTGGATGACCTTCGGTCGGTCCCCTGCCTTGGGTCTTAATTGCTTCGCTGAAGTCATCATTTAGATATGACAGAAATGAGCTGTCGATATATGCGACTGTGTATATCGCAGAGGTAAGGTGGAAAGCAGCAGGACTCGGAAGTGGGTTAAAAATGAGTGCGCAGGCGAATGATGGTGATTATCCATCTGTGTGATTGATGATCGCAGGACTTTCCTTACTGGAGAGGCTGATGCAGTACAATCCTCTGTACCAGAAGGCGGAGCAAAGCGGAAAGTTCGACAGCCGCTTCGTCACCAAGCTGCTCCAGAATTACAGGTGCTCCTCCGCCTCCTCCATCTGTGCCCAACGCCAGCATCCCACAGAGCGCGGACTCAGGGAGCAAGTGCTGACATCTCGCTGCCCCCGTCCCCCGCGCAGGTCCCACCCGGACATCCTCCACATCCCCAACGAGCTTTTCTACGATTCTGAGCTGCAGGTGTTCGCTGACAGGAAACTCCGAGAGTCGTGCTGTCAGTGGGAGCACCTGCCCCAGCAGGTAGGAGATGGGGTGCTTACAGATCGTCAGTCACATCTCTCCTGGCCCGGGAGCTGCTCCATCAACCTGCAGGCCAAGGAGAGATGCAGGCCACACGTAGCATGCAGCATTTTTATGAACAAGCTATACAGGTGATTTTTAAAATAAAGAATAAAAGAGAAAAGACAAACCCCATTCTGCCAGGATAAGGAAAACATTCCAAATTGTTCCTCACCGGTTCGTCTGGTATATCTTATTAGTTTTACTTCATAAAAAATTGCTATGTCCATGTGCGACTCAAAGGGTTAGGACTATATCCCGTGATAGGAAGGTTGCTGGTTAGAATTATGGGGTCAGCAATCTGATGCTGCCTTTAAGTTTTACTTACACAAAAATGTCCTGAGGACAGAATAAAAAAAAAAAAAGATTGGTTCAAAGAGAGAACCAGTCAGATTGTAGAGGACGTGGGTCCAAGCAACTAGAGGAGGCCGGACCAACTAATCAGATGTCTCGATCCCACCTCCTCTACAATTCTATACTATTAAGAATGCAGCTCTAAAGGGGGCCCATTTGACTGCTGCTGTCTGGCCCCGTGTGGCTCCTCCACAGGGCTTCCCGGTGATATTCCACGGCGTGATGGGGAAGGATGAGCGTGAGGCTAACAGCCCCTCGTTCTTCAACACGGCGGAGGTCCATGAGCTCATAGAGTACTTGAAGAAGCTGCTCCCACCAGCGGGTGAGAGAGGCTCCGGCATCCTGTCTCCGAGTGAGATTGGCATCATCTCACCATACAGAAAACAGGTGGGTTGGCACCACTCATCGAGTGGCTCCTGGGGTCAGGACTCTGCTACTGGGCCTCAGAAACCTCTCCAGGGGTGCCAGGAAAGGGCGGACCCTGTGCTCTGACCCTAAGCTTCGCTATTACGAATATTTGTGTCATATGGGAAATGAGGTGAGGTACAGTATGCGAACATCAAGAATTTGCTCTGTATTTCTATATACTTGGCAAATAAAGTATCATTATGATTATTATTGTTATTGGTGATCACTACCTCAAAATGTTCCAAAAAGAAATTTTCTGGATGCCAGGGGATTTGAATGGCCATTTCAAATTTGTTGTGTTCATTTTTTCTTCTTTTTTTAAATGATTGATTACTGTACAGGTTGAAAAAATCCGGAAAGCCATCAAATTTGTTAAGGAGCTGAACCAGCTGAAGAACATTCAGCATCTGACGGTGCGTTTGTAGTTATTAATCATCAAAGGTATTCTTGGGAAATATAAATTAGACTGGCATCATAAACAAAAACACGGGGATATAAAGTATCCTCACTCTCCTAGTATGTACATGCTTTTGGATCCATGTGTGTTTACTTATTACATGTATATTTATCTTCTAATCAAAGAAATAGTGTATAGTTATCCATAGATTTAGGTAATGACAGCACAGAGGTCTGGCAGACTTGAGGATCTTGCTGACCTCTTTCAGGTGGGATCAGTGGAGGAGTTCCAGGGCCAGGAGCGCAAAGTCATTATGGTCTCTACTGTGCGCAGCAGCGCCACCTACGTCAAGATGGACCAGGACTTCAACCTGGGCTTCCTTACCAACAAGAAGGTATGCGCCGCCTTCCTCTGCTGGGTTCTCTTCATGGGAGCTGGGAAGGAGTGAAAATGTGGACCGTTTGGAGGTCCTTGAGGACTACTTTGAGGGGTTTAGGGGACACACATTCCCGTAATAACCTTCATCGTATTTAAACACTGGCATTTTAACAGCCCTCTAAAAATAATTACCTCATTAGCAAAACCACACAGGTACAAAAATCACATACGTGTACAGTATTTTCTGTTTCATTTAGAAATATGAATAGATTTTTTTTTGCAGTACAGACGCTCCTCTACTTACGACTGAGATACGTTCCAAACAGCCGTTCGTAACTTGAAATGTTCGTAAGTCATTATTCAACATAATTTTAAGGTTATACGCAAGTACAAAGAATTTGGATGCTGGGAGTACGCACGCTACACTGCTGCATGGCGAGAGTAGCGGCCAGAAGTCGTACTAGGTGGAATTGGCGCACGGAAAAAAAAATTATGTTGCAGACCGGAAACGGGAGCCCAATGAACACAATTTGGACTTACAGTCTTCGTCATTCGTATGTCTGAAAGTTCGTAAGTAGAGGAGCGTCTGTATATTTAAATTCTGTTGTTTTTGACAGTCATCGCTATCTTCAGGTGGTTTGCTTACAGATTGGTTGTAGACATGACCATGAGCTGCTTTGGTTGACATTTCAGAGGTTCAATGTGGCCATGACCAGAGCCAAGGCCCTGCTGATTGTGGTAGGAAACCCTGTCATTCTCTGCAAGGACCCAACCTGGAAGCGGTGAGTGGCAGCCGCAGAGAGATTGGACCTGGGGAAGCGTATGGGGTCCTCATGACCTTCATACAGTGGCCTCCTCATTGATTATTTTCTTTAATTATATCACCAGTTAGGAGCACTAGTGCTCAGTAGACAGTCTGTTCTTTCTATGGGAGGATCCACATCATAGCGGTTCACAACCCTGAAATACAGCTGCTTAAATCCCAGCTCTTTGCTGGGATTTAAACCTGTTATCTTTTGGTCCAGTAACCTGAGCTTGCTTTTGCATACGGGCTCTTCCAGGTTCATTCATTACTGCAAGGAGAGAAGGGGCTGCACCGGGTTTGACTTGGCCGAGGTGGAGGAGGAGGATGATGTGCTGATGCGACTGGCCACTCTCAGCATGCAGCCTGAGCCGGAAGGTAGGATCAGTACCAGCCAGTCTCATGGTGAACCTCTGTGTGTCATTTAAAAAATGAAGTCTGTGCTCACAGATGGTGCCTTGAGAGTGCCTGTCTTACCTTCTCATATATCCAGTATAGGAACCTCTTAAAAAAATGTAAATAACACATTTTGGATATTTGTAATAGGTTTTTCCTTTGGGCTTCTTTTCTTACACATGACAGACCCACAATTCATTGATAGCTACTAATGGGATGCAGGCGAGCCAGTTTGAATCTTTGTTATGCATCTGAAGCTGGAGTGTGCTGCCCATGACGCACGTGTGTTTCGTGTGCTACATAACACCGCTTAATCATTTCCGTACTGGAACCTTTTATTTCCTGAAATAAAGCCACTGCATGTATTTAAATAGAATAGGTATAGTCCATTTAATGACTGAAAAAAATGAATTTACATTTAGAAATATAGCAGACAGAAAACATGAAACTTTTGTGTTGTGGACTCCCTGCAGTCCCAATACCAGTAAAGTGAGGGTGACATGGCCTCCTGTCCCATCCCCTATGGCAGTGGCTGAATCCAGAATGGAGGAACCACCTTCTGTGCCCTGAACAGACAAGCAAGCTGGTCTCCGGTCTGATGAGCCATCGTGCGAGAGGATGACCATAGCAACATCCTGGGTTTTTCCACTGTGCTAAGATGCACTGAAACGATTCTCTAATAGACAAGAGCTGCCAGCTAATCCAGTTTAGACCTCTTAATTGTTGCATCAGATACATCTAAACAAACACAGAATTTAATTTTTGTGCAAGTGCCTTTACCTGTATTTGGTAAAAATTTTATAATGTACTTTTTGGGGGATGAATACAAAGAAAAGAATTAAGTAATAACTTCACAAATTATGCCTTAATTTTTAATAGTGCTGTTTATGAAAACCATTTAGCGTGGATGCAGTGCTCTGCTTCCCTACTTGAACGGGGAATCCAGCTTTGAGTGGTTGTCAGGTTGTTTCAGTCACTACATTTTTAGCACCTACCTGTTTTTTTTTTACTTGCCGTTTAATAATTTGTGTCAAGAATTATAAGCCTCCTAACACTGACAGCTGCAAAATTTGAATTAAACTTTGTAGGTTGTTAAAATTCTGCCATACTTGGTAAGTTTCATTTTCATATGCATGTCAGGCTAAAATCAACTGACAGTCATAAAGCACTTATTTCTGTACCCTGTTTGGATTTATGCCTTTGGAGAATGTAAGTATGTTTATCATAATGCTCCAGTTTCACTTCAGAGGTATGTTGTTAGAAACTTTTTTTACTTGACGAAATAATAAAGTTGTTAAAATTAAGCTGGTCACACTGTATATTAGGATGAATTTCTGTAAATGTTATAATGTTGACCGTAATGTTAATGTGCAGTTAATGTGTCCATTAGACACCTTTTTATCCTTTAATTGAAAATAAGGTTCTTAAGCCAAACAACACCAGGGACACACAGGGAGAAGCCCTAGTGGCTAGATGCGGAATTGCACTTTATTTGGGATATTACTTGTGGTTTGATGCATTGGCAGGTTGGGATTTCAGGGGTCCATTTCCAAGTATTCATTATTTTAATGTTTCCTAGGTTTTAGGACTGTGTGATGCTTTATGTTATTGATTCTGTCAACCAGCAATAACAAACATCAGTCAGGAAAATTAGGATCAGCTGCAAGAAAATGTGTTTATCTGTAAAAGTGTCATCTGTAGAAATTCTTTCTTAGCATAATTTCCTGCTGGCAAGTGCTGTGGGGATATCATTTCCATGGTTTGTAGCCAGATGAGCAAAGTGGCAAAGCACTGTGCTATTGGACCAAGCTGAGGTGGACCCTGAGGTGGGGGCTGGAGATCCACCAAGCCTCTGTGAGTGAGTCACTTGGCACAGAATGCCTATATATGAAAAATCCTGTTTCCAAAGCTGTTTATTAACAGTGCAAACCTTGTTACAGCATCATATACTGCCCTAATGGTCATATAGATGAATTCACAAAACATAATCTGTATAACGCAGCACCTGTGTAACCATGTATTGATTAATACTAATTAATCAATCTTTGTATCTTACCATCTCCCGCAAAACAGTGACCTGTACACTTGCTTAACTAGCTTATAGTTCTGCTGTCAGTTTCAGAATGATTTGACTTTGGGGTATTGGCTTAATAATTAAACATTCAAACTCCATGCCCCTGATTCCTTGGATGTATCTGTTGAGGGTTTGACTGATGGCTTACAGATCACCATTACTGGCACATTAGCAAAACTATTCTTTTTCTCTTCTGATATCATGCCTCATGAGACCAGTCCATGCAATCGGTATAATGTCTGTTGCCTGTGTTGGCACTGGATTAGCACTTTAAACCTAATCAAGGGTACCGCTACTGAATGTCTCCACCTGTAATTTTGAAGTACTGTGTTGGAGGTGCACTATAAATCTGAATGATGAATACTGATTATGTAACTAACTTTATAAAGTATGTTGTCCTTTATAATCCTTCCCCATATCAGTACCTTCAAAAAGGAAATACAGACGCGCCTCTACTTACGAACTTTCAACTTACAAACTTTCAGACATACAAATGAAGAGGACTGTATGTCCAAATTGTGTTCATTGGACTCCCGTTTCCTGTGTGCAACATAATTTTTTTTTTTTCTGCGTGCCAATTCTGCCTAGTAGTTATGGCCACTACTCCCGCCACGCAGCGGTGTAGCGTGCGTTCTCCCAGCATCCTAGTTTTTTATATTTGCGTATAGTCTTAAAATGATGTTGAATAATGACTTACGAACATTTCAACTTACGAACGGCCGTTTGGAACGTATCTCATTCATAAGTAGAGGAGCATCTGTACTATCTCCAAAAAAACTGACGTTGCCTCGGTTCAGCTCTGTATAGCCTCTAGCCACTTAGTGCTTTGCAAGTGACAAAGTAGAAACTGTCATGCTTGAGAGAAGCATGAATTATATTTGTCAGGACTGGGTATTCAACTTAAGTCAAAAGCTTGTCAAAGAACAAAGAACTTCCATCTAGTGTTGGGCGGTATACTGGTTCATACCGAAAACAGTTTTTTTTATTATTGTTATGATGTGAATCTTTCTTATACCGCAATACCGGTTTAAATAGCTTACATAATGTTCGGAAAGTGGCGCAGCTGGAAACTGTTTAAGGGGGGACCTTTTTCACTGCTGCACCGCTAAAAATGTATCGTGAAAGATCAGAAACGGAAGATATAGCTGATGCTGGAGTTGAAAATAATGAGACAATGAGGTTGTCAAAAAATCTATTCTCAGCTACTAATCGATACTAAAAATTAGTATCTGATTAGATACTCATTTTCACCATTATTGATACCAACAGTGCGGTTTTCGCCTCACTTCACACAGCACCACTACAGCGCAGGTGCGCGTACACACTGGTGCAGCCCCTCCCCTCCTCAATAGCCGCTGAACGCATACGCGCTGGTTAACGCTCGCATACCGAGTTGGCCAGTTGAAGGTACTTTGCAAGCTGCTTTAGTAAAAAAAAACAAAAACAAAAAACGCAAAAGTGCCGTTTGCTCGTCTACAAAACACTTCCATGGAAAGGCTAAGGATGTTGATAAGCCTCTATGCAAGCAGCACTACAAAGTTGTGGCGACAAAGTCAAGTAACACGTCAAACTTGGCGAAGCATTTTAAACACTGACATCCCGGTCTTTATGCGAAATTTTGTGAGGACAGTAAAGCCTGTGTTCCAGCAACACTGAACTATTAAACACATCAAAAATGTTAACTTGGCCGGAGCACATCTTAACATTAGCCGTTTATCTATAAGCAGTTAGCCAACAAACATGTTAGCCGTATGTTATCATTAAGGTAGCAGATAGGCGCAATGGCTAATAATAATATAGTTAATGTGGGAACTGTCGTATACCGTGAAACCGATATATATCTTTGAAAAATACCATGATATAAATTTTTGGTCATACCGCCCAGCTCTACTTCGATCCATCCATTTTCTGAAACTGCTTGTCCTATTCAGGATCATGGGGGTTCCTAAGCCTATGGGCGCAAGGCCATCGCAAGGCACACACACACCTATGGGCAATTTGGTTATTCTAGTTAGCCTCCACATGTTTTTGGACTGTGGGGGGAAAAAACCAAAGTACCCAGAGGAAACCACCTGACAGCAGAGGGAGAACATGCAAACTCTACACACATGTAACCCTGGCAGAGACTCAAACCCAAGTCCCAGAGGTGTGAAGTGAGAGTGCTAACCACTGCACCACCATGCCACCCCAACAAAAACCACTTGAATTGTCTTATTTAAATATTTGTCAACTTGACTTACTAGTTTACACAAACTATTTGGAACCTGCAGCAAATGGCACATCTAGTGTGGCACCATCAGTCGCTCAGTGTATCTGCTCCTCAAAAACAGGAGGGCCTTTTATTGAAGAAAAAGCAAAGTTACATGATGGGTTTCATTTTATCTAAGCACACCATACTGACTGCTGATGAGATTATTGGGTACATGAAGTACGATATCTAAAGGGGAAAAAAGGACAAAGATTAAATACTGGAAAGCATGTTTAATTAAATGTCCAAAAATAATTCCCCACCCACTTTATTATCACCATTAAGTGGTGCCTTTTCAAAGTGATTAATACACAGATAAGCGTTTTAGATGGTAATGACAGATTTGGAAATCAGGCGAAAGCGGCAGGATTTAGCAGAGGAGAGGTACTCCCACCTGGGGGGCTGTCTCCAACTCTGCCAGTAAGACGCTGAGTGTACCCAAGTAAACATGAAAATTATTGGAAATTTCAACTTAAGACATGACATACCATACCTTTATTTGGCATCTGTGTGAAAACTGGGCGGTCAGGCCTTGTTTGACACATGACTAATACATTTACATTTGCAAAGGATTAATCTTCCATTGGATCAGACCCATTGGGAAGGACCACAGACAGTTCTGAAACTTTGGGTTGTAATAATTGCGTGTCCTCCTCTAAACAGAATAGCCCCCTGCAGTATGGTTTAAATTAAAAGAACTGTTAATAATTGTGTTCCTGTCAGCCTTGTACTCGTGCAGCTTTGGAAACGTTTTCCTCTTGTATTCTAAATGGTCTTTTGAGCATGTCTGGCAGAAATAAATAAAACGATTGGCAACATCAGCGGCAACTGAAACTGAACGTGCAGCGGGTGTCTTGGAGACAAAGGACATCACGTCGTTTCACCACCGACAGACTTGGGCAGACGATCTGCAGCCTTGCCATTCCTTGACTACGGAACACGGATGTGACTGTGCTCTGAAAATAACCCATTTTCCTCCCTCGTTACCAGCTGTATCGGCGAGCCGAGGATGCAATCACACCCAGGGCCGACGACAGAAAGGAAAGGGGCAGGGGAGGTTTTTCATTGACACTGAAAATAGGTCAATTCCATGCAGGCTCATAATTCACTGGGTCTAAAAGATTTTCACCCTACTACCATTTCTGCTGTGATGCTGAATGTGGTCTTTAAAAGACCGCCAGATCAGTTTGTACATCACCCACCGATGTGTGAAACTCATACCAGGGGGCGGGGGAAGTCATAAGACAGACATTGGTGGAGCCACTTGTCTGTGTACACAGTCATACAACAAATTTATTAACCTTCCTGCATTGTACAAATTGGCAGATATTATGGTGGGAGGGGGGAAGTGTAATCAAGAACAAAAAACCCAGAAAATAAACAACTTCAAAAATATCAATTCCTAACCCATCATGAAGCCCAGTCTTTCATATGTGCGTATGCATTCCCACACTTTTTTTGGCGTGAAATGTAAGATTCAGTACAACAATGCTTTTTTTGGGAGGGGTAGCTTTTTTTTGGGGGGGTAGGTGACAATTGCTGACTGGCGTCCAGCCACCCTGCCTCACAACAGCAGGCAGCCACCCCTCTTCTTGCGCTTGCGCACTTGCAGCGCCGCCCTGGTGGCCATCTCGAACACCTCCCGAACCCCATCCTTGGTCTTGGCTGAACATTCCAGGTAGCCGAAGGCACTGATGCGGTTGGCCATGTCCCTTCCCTCCTCCGGTTTAACGGGTTCCTGCAAAGGTCCACAGATATTGAATTTACTGACAATCATTGTCTTTTACTAAGGAAGTTCAGACTGACCACCCAGGTCATTGCATGGTGGCCAGCTGGCCATCATCCCTGTGAACTATTTCAATAATATATGTCACTGAACAGTTCTCAATCTGAAAACAGAACAACAAAATGAGAAAGTGTTGTCAGAACTGACGGCTGGATGGCTCCACAGCCATAATGAATGCCAGCTGCCCTATCAAGTATGGCCTTTATTTTCTGTTCCTATCCGGTATTAACCTATGATGGAGCATTACGCTCACTTCTTGCTCCGTTGATCACTTCCCCGTGAACCCGATGGGCTTTTAAACTGGCACTATCTGGCCCCTGAACCTGAATGCTGCTGACAGATTCATGGCACCGAGCTGGAGTTATTGGAGCACAATGCTGTATTATAACATCATTTCAAAGGGAGCTCATCTATGCAGGATCTATTCAATTTTATTGCTGAAACGCTCTACTCCAGAGGGGGGAAAGAAACCGCAGACCTAGTCACAGAAAGGTGTTTAACAAAAGTAAGAAACGTAAACCTGATGCCAAGTACTCTGCCAGTAAAAATTCAAAAACCAGTTTTTGGTTGCGTGTCTGAACTTCCTGCTTTTCTATTTGAGCAGCACAAGCAAAGATAGGTGACGTCAATTAGCACCAGCGTTAGCTAACGAATGGAGTCAGAGAGGGACCTGCTTCATCTTGGCCAACTCCCGTCGCGTGTGGTCGTCGTTGCGCAGGTCCTTCTTGTTTCCCACCAGGATGATGGGCACATTGGGGCAGAAGTGCTTCACCTCCGGAGTCCACTTCTCTGGGATGTTCTCTGTGGGGTGCGGATCATAAAATGCAGTTACCCAAGATCAGCGGTCTTGTTAAGGAAACAGTGGCAATAATCTTGTTTTACAGCTAATCCAGTCAACTAATATATTTATCCAAAGATTACTGAAACATTTTGCTTATGGAAACATTTATTTAGCTTTATTTCACTTATTTTACTTGATTTATTCTATCCTTCTATAATTTCATTGACCTGTATGTTAGTTGCTTCTTTCTTTGGGTTTAATCTTGTATGTGAAACACTTTGAGCTGCATTCCATGCATGAAAAGTGCTACATAAATAAAGATTATTATTTCTACAGTTTTCAATTGTATTGAAGAAATTCTAGATAGGAGTAGTAGGTAGATAATGGGCTTGAACTCGGTGGATTAGTTTATAATCCAGTATGAACCTTATCCTGGTTAAACAAAGGGTGACAGTTTGGGTAGAAAAGCCCTTATTTCATATCTTCAGCCAGCACAATCAAAAGCTGACCCTGTTACCAGATGCCAAATCAAATCAGAACACGCACTGTCCATTGCTAGGTGTCCCGACACCGTACAGAAGTGACTGAGCCCCTCAAACTGTTAGAAAGTTGCGAGCGGTCTAATCTTCATCCTATTAGCTTGATTTTCAGGCAGCTGCAGAGGCTAATTGTGAGTCAGCCCACTCATTCGCTTTGTGGTGGATTTCAGGAGCTTGGTGGGGCTTCAGTATTTTTAGCCATCGTCGCACAGAAATGCAGCAGAACCAGAATCAGCGAGACGTGGAGCATGCTGCTCGGTGCCCACGCCTTACATTGGAAGCCAGTGTGAGTCATAGCAGCCCCTTCCGTGCCCACAAGCAATGCGACTGCTGCCTCTGCTAGATCCCGATAAGACATGAGCATGACTCAAGATTATAGGAACCCCCGGAACTTTCAATAGCACATATCACATTGTCCCACTGTTGCCCTCTGCCAGGAAAACTCCCATACCACCCCCAAAACACCGGCAGAAGTTGCAATAATTTCAAATATTTTGTGTCACCTCAAAAGGTGAATGTGGTTAATTCAGTCATTAAAACTGATATGACCTTTTACTAGTTTACCATGTGATTATATTGCCCAATACAATACTGTAGGTAGCAATACTCCATATTACACTGTTTTGGATTTCAGGGAAATGGAAATCCCAGTCACTTTGAGTCTTCTGAAGTGTATTACGTCCTTGTTATAAGTCTAGTTAACCAAGACTAGCAATTGTAACATGATCAATGCCCTTGTTGACAGAGGAACGTTGGGCATGATATGTTTGGTACTTACCCAAACTGTCAGGACTGTCGATGGAGAAACACATGAGGATGACATCCGTATCAGGATAGGAAAGGGGCCGCAAGCGGTCATAGTCTTCCTGACCTGCTGTGTCCCACAGTGCCAGCTCCACCTGTTACACATGGAGGTACAGTAGGTGGTTACAGGGCCCCCTCGCCTTCCACAATATTACCCAGATCCCATCATCCCAATGAAAAAGCCAAGCCGTCATTTCTGTCCTGCCCAAGTAAAAACTGCACTGGATGAAGAACAAACTAGCACTGCACTTTTTCCAACCGGAATTAAAAAATAACAATAAAAATATTAACTGGCAACACAAGGATCTCCCGTCTTTAATATTCTTTACACATGGCAGAGATTGTGGCGACTTTTAATCACATGATACAGCATAACCAATGGAGTTGATTGGCTGCCCTAAAGCACTGGGGGTGTGAAATTTGAAATCTTTGAAGTTCTGGGGCATTTAAATGAAGAGTAAACCCAGGGGCCCAAAGAAAATGGGACAGGCAAGAGGGTGACTGTCATCAGGACGGCAGGATCTGGGTCACAGCTCTAGTCTTGGACAGTCACAAGCTAGAGCAATTCTCAGCCCCCCTGTACACTTAAATCCCCTCAAGAGAAAGGAAGGGGCTCATTCAATAAAGCTACCAAGTCATTAAACTAGGTGATCGAGAGTTTAGGCAGAATACAAATCAGAAGACTGTCTGGCCAAACAGGATTAGATGGCTGCGGTAATGATGTGGTTTACCTCAATACAACCCACTATTTATGGAAAAAGTTATCATTTCCATACTGCTTTGATAGATCTGTGTTAGACAAGCAGTGAGCAAATATACAGTAAGCAATGGTTAAAAATATAGAACTATGCCTTTAAAAGGACATGCGAAATTGGGAAGAACAGGGCATAACAAGAAACATCAGTTCAATTTGAGCTAAACATAGAAATAGAACTTCTCAGAGAGAAACAATGAAAAAAAAAAAAGCTCTCGAGGGGTGGATTTAAAAACAGAAACCGAGCTTCCTGATTTTGTCAGTTCATTATACAGCAGGGGAATACTGGAAGAGTGGCCTCTTCGAAAGAGGTGAGCTTGAGGGATGCCACAGCAGAGCCTTCTCCCTGTAGCTCCCACGGGGACAGAAACAGCACCCCTCGCCTTCCATAAAAGGAGACGAGCCCCATCTTTATCAGCCTGGGCTCTGCAGGGTGCTGGGGTGCTTTCCCAGTCGCCGCAGGAAGCCGAGGAACAGAGCCATTTCCTGTTTCACCAAGCCCTGATTGTAACAGCAAACATCCTACCGTCACGCCTACGGTCATATGAGGCTCGCTCCCTAGGGGAGTGTGCAGCCCAAGTTCTGAGGTCATTTTCAACACTGAATAACAACATAATCCTAAAGCTGAAACTGTTTTACATTCACAATTTTCTTAATAACTAAGTTGGTAAGCACAAAAATATTTACTGCCTACGAGCTAAACTAGAAAACACATTAAAGGTGACTAATGCACTGTGCATAAGCAGGTCATTATCGGAGTCGTAAAGACATGGACAGTGTACAGTTAAAAATAGGCCGTGTGCTCTCCTGACAATCCTGGTTACTCACTCAAGGCAGAAGCATGTATGGTCCAGCCCTGCCGCTTACTCCCCCCCTGTCTTTTGTCACCTGCATTTGAGTCACCGCAAAAGGTTAGGGCCAATATAAAGGGTTTTTCCTCTAGTGTTATTGCTGAATAAGACTCTGACGGTAACTTCGGTGCCACCCTGGTTTTGCCTGAGGAACAGTGGACAAACCCTCATGTCCAAAGGTTGCAGTAAAGCTAAAAGAATTTTAAAGCAACACGCCAGGACAATGTCACTGCGAGTGCGAGTTGTTATCCTGAGTGATTTATCAAGTGAACAGAAAGCTGTCCAATAAAATCTGTTTAAAAATTACTGAAAACGCACAATAGGTACAACCTTTCAGTTACCAAAAAAAACTAAAGCTGAAGCACAAACAATTCTGCCTAAATTAAACATTTAAAGATAGTAACAGCGCATAAACAGGAAGTCTTTGCCACCCAGTCTTTGCCTGTCTGTTGTAGACACGTTATAATCATACGAATGACGTGTAATTTTTCTGCAACCTCTGTGTGTTGGGCGGGGCCACCCACCTGCTTGCTGTCCACCTCTATGTCAGCGATGTAGTTCTCGAATACAGTGGGAACATAGACCTCAGGGAACTGGTCTTTACTGAAGACAATGAGTAGGCATGTTTTTCCACAAGCTCCATCCCCCACGATTACAAGCTTCTTCCTGATGGCTGCCATCTATGGACACAAGTGACAGTTTCAGTCAGTATGGCAGGACAGGGGACTCCACAGAATCATGTGGTCTCCTTAGGTACAACACAGTACAGTGTAATATTTTAAGTATAATGCAGCATGTTACATCATATATCGTCACAGGGAATTACAATATTACCATTTACATACCAGAGCACAAAGTTAGGCAGTATTTTCCCCAACCACTTCAGTATTGAAACCAGTCACATTCCTTTCGTTTATATGCCCTACATTGTGCTAGTTTGGCTGAGCAACACTAGCCTGTTTCTCCCACTAAACTGAGATAATGTAGAAAAGAGTGGGATATTTCAAGAAGCAAACAAATATTATATAAAACAATAATAACAATAGTAAAATACAAAAATACAAGTCCCCTATAAAAAAGAAATCCCTGCAGGCTTAAAGACATTGTTGGTGTGTCATTTTTCTAGCGCCTTCCCTACTACATCCTCTAAAAGTACATTTGAAGTCTTAACCTTAAACAAATGCAAAGCTACCTAAGAAATTAGCCACTGTTTTGATCTACTCCAGTAGTCTTACAACTTGGTTACGCCCATAATGTGCCGGACATTTACTCTAAACCAATCATTATGTAATTTAACTTTAAAGTCTCAGGGGAGAAGAGTAATTTGCAGCGGGCTACTGTAAAATAGCACAATTTACACGACTGAAAGCAGAAGCAGGCCTCGAAGAATAAAAATATATCTTTCAGAATTGAGAAAAAAAAAGACAGGAGGGGGACACGGGGTGAGGAAATGGAAGCAGAGGAAGGTGATCAAGTCGTTTTCTAAGCTCCGCCCTTTTCCTTCAGGGAAATGAGCAAACAGCATCCTGGAAACTCAGCAGCAGCAATGGATCCCCTACCCCCCCATCAGAGGAAAGCTGTACTTCTGGCTCTCAGTTCACTCGGACTGTACAGCTTCTCGTTTGGTATTCGCCTATAGACTCTCACATAAGCCTCTGACCCACACTGCCGTGATCCAGCCAATCCACAGGTGAGCCGAGAGAATGACATTTTGGGAATGGAATGGACTTTCCTACTGCCTGTCTTGGCTTCTGCCCCCATGCTGTTTAGGACTTGCGTTAAGGACAGATATGCCAGAAACATAAACCTATGCTGGCACCACTGCTAGATCAAGTCTTACTGTGCATAAGGGAGCCTCAGTGGATTGACATAATGGAACCCTATCTGGTTTATTGTATCTATTATCCAACATGGTCATCAGCATGAACTGTATATCTGTATTCCATGAATAATAAAAAAATTAGGTAAAATAGTCCTTATGTTTATATAGTTATTGCAGCCAGACTTCATAAAAATTTAATACATTTTTGTTGTGAAAATTCACTCCAATTTCAAGACACTAATGTCACCTGTCAATCGACTGAATACCAGCTAACATACAGGAGGAAAGTCTTGTGTATTCAGCAGTAATCATTGTAGAAAGGTGCATTTCGCTTCGGAGCTCCCTGGTGATGCGTAATTCCAGTTCCAAGCCCTGGGTTCTCAGCTGTTGCACCCGAGAGCAAGGTGCTTTAATAAATTTATCTCTGTAAGCATGCAGATTGATTCAGCTACTTAAAATGCATTGAGGAACATTGCTCTCATGAGCTTCAAACCCATGACCTTCTAATCCACATTCTGAAGGAATATGCCATCGGAGGGAAGTATAGCAGTTCTGTTTCTCATTCAAAACATTCTCCTAAAATTACTCACACACATATAGACACACAGCGTTCTTAGTAAAATGTTAGCTTTGCTGAATTCCACTGTTTTCCGGTTGACAAACATGGCTGCCGGACAGAGCAGCCTCTGGCCAGATGGCAGAGTGACTGAGCATGCTCGTCACTCGGTGTGTCCTATGCTTGCCCTTCCCACACACCCAGGGCTAGTTCTTCAGCACCTTTCCCATCTTATTTCCACTTCCTGCCCACGGCACCACCGTTGAACCATGAAGGAATCTGTGTGTTTGCAATCACTTGTCTAGACCTTGTTTTCCATTAAAAATTTAAATCAAGAATTAAATACAGCAAGGCAGCACTCAGGAAGAAGTCTTCCTTTGTGTGATAAAAGAACTAGGTGGTTTGCTTAAAATGTATTGAGCCTGCTCAGTTTCAATGAAAGGAAAGGTTATACATGGAGTCCCTACCACTTTCGATTGGTTTCAGCTCACCAAAATGAAAGTAGATTTAAAAACGATATTCATACATCTTTATAATAAGGGTCAGCATGAGACCTGATACAAAGATTGGACTATGGGTATGGAGGCATGAAGACCCAATCAGAATGGCTAATGCTGAAGAAAACGCAATATAGAATAAAATTTAGTGTTGGCTACTGGACATATATAGAAAATGTTGGTTCCAATTTCCATGAGGATCTCACCCTTTGAAAAACTGAATGTTAGCTTTGGCCAAAGACTAGATTCCCAGACCTTAAAGGGCACTGGTTTTTCTTTTCCCTTAAAGGGCTGCTGAACATGTAGACATTTTCTGGAAAGTTCACAGCGGCTAATGGCAACCTGTGTGACGTGATCTGTAAGATTTGTTTTTTTTGGGTTGTTACTTTATAGAAACATCTAATCTGGACTCACAGTTTACACATGTTTCAGACAGAAAAGGTTCTGCTGAAATTTCTGTGACACAGCTGGCCTTTCACATGTTTGAACTCCCTCTGGGATAACATTGAAATGAGAGGACAACTGCTTAGTTAACTCAGTATCAAAACATGGCTGGGAAAATTCCAAAAAGGACACATTTGTAATGGCCAACCAGGAAAAGCCATTGATATTTTCAAATATCAAATACTTCATACATGGAAAAGGGAAGATCTGCCTCGAAGAAACAGTCCAGGCAAAAGCAAACGAGGCACGTTTACAAGCACCATACAGTACTCCTCTTTGTGCAAAACAGGTGTGGGATACCCCAATGATTAAGATCATACATTACAACATATCTGACATTCTTTTCATAGCAAGCACGCCGTATAGAGATCCGAGAGAAGAGTGAATGCCTTCTGTGATAGCGATAACTGATGAATGTGTCATGACAATAACTTTCAGAGGGGTTCATGTTAAGTGGTTGCCATGGAAATGCTTCAGTCCCCGCCTTCTCTGGTGCTTGTGTGTGGGGGAGAGAGAGAGAGAGAGAGAGAGAGAGAGAGAGAGAAACCCTGTTTATGGGATTGTCACCTATTGTCTTCTCTGCTACCAAATCACCATGAATCTCACGGCCACAATACAGCAGAGGTAACCCTTGGCACCCCATGGTGGGGACATGAAGGAGCCCCATGGTGAGGACATGAATGAGGACTTTTTGTAAGGTCCTGCAACATACAACAGGTGTCAGACATACAAGAACGTACCATTTTAAGGACAAAACCAAAGTCCCTTTGAGTATCTGAAACGCAAATATTATCACTGCAGTATAATACTTAAAATGAATTAATCAAATGGTTTTCTACAGGAAACAAAGTAGGGACCAAAATGTAAATTCATATTAGAACAGACTACTTAATATCTATTGCAAAGTTTAAGAAAATGGAAACAGACACATTGTAGCTGAAATGGGCAGTAATTGTTGCTGCATGCATTTTATTGTAAAATTTCTGATAGACAAGGACATTAAAAGCATATGCATCTGTGCATGTATTCCTTGCTACAAGTGAACAAACACACAGATACATATTTCACTCAGACTGAATTGCTGTTCGAATATAAGCCACCACCAGCATACAGATTTAGCACACAACACAAAACCAATCTCTCTCCCAGACCTGAGGGGTCAGACCTGTGGCAGCCTGAGGCCAGAAGATCCGGGAACAGAGAATCGTCTCTCACTTAACAGCGTGTCAGTGACGGAGTTGGTGATGCAGACAGCGCACAGTGTAGCCCTAGCAATCTGCTCACCTTTACAACAAGCATCCATCGTTACTTCCTCTGCTAATGCTGGGCTTTCAGGTCAAATAAATGAAAACGCAATCCACTGGAAGCACTAAAAGAGCCCAGTGTTCTAAACTGACCCGTTTTCCATTTCAACTCCCCATTCTGGGCTTTTTTTAAATGAAAAAGTGCATTCTGCTCCGCCCACGAGGAGGTGCAATGACCCACAAAGAGCACGCTGCTCCTCTGATGCGCCCAACAGATCTATGAGCTCTCAACAGTCACTGTCCGCATTGAATTAGCAGTGCAGCACATCGTGTGGTAATTAAGGCCCCCTGAAAGGCATTTCTCCCTAAGTGGTAGCTCTGTAGTGTGCTCTGGCCAGTACTGAACCCAACAGGGATACTACATGAGCCACTGCAAGGAGAGTGCTGGACTGCACCATGGTCTCTCTCACACCCTAGCAGTGCCCTGTAGACTAGACAAAGAAGGCATGAGTAATCGCCTCAGAAAACATCTGAAGAAATCACCGTAGCATAAACCAGAACCTCACTGTGAAAGTGTCTTTTTATACTAACATTCGAGACAAGTCATTTTAAGTGGCCATAGGTGGACTGTCACTTACTATCTGGAAATCATTCCCTTTGTCCTCGCCAACCAGAACCTCCAGTTAGAACTTTTTCATTACCTGTGTTTGTTTAATCTTCAGATTATGGATGTGGAGGTGGGGGAGGTGTGTTNGTGTTTGTTTAATCTTCAGATTATGGATGTGGAGGGGGGGGGGGGGGGCTGAAAGGAGGTAGCATCCAATTTCCTTAACAAGTTGTCTATGTTCCTAGCAACAGTTTGATTGTTTTTAATCAAAATCTTTCATTAGTCATCAGTTAAGCCTGCCCCGCTACAAGCCGTAGCCCAGGCTATGATGGTGTTCTGGGGGGGGGGCAAGCTTACTATGGTGACCTGAGTGATGCTGAACAAACTCTGATAAGAAGCCGTCACCAGGACGGGATATTATCACGAATGAAAATACAGAAAGAAAAAACAGCTGCTTCAAAGAGATAACAGTCGCTGGTGTTTGTCTACCCTTAAATTCAACTTAAAACG